AGATAGAAGACGGTAGGTACTATTATATATATTCCGTTTTTTTTAAACTCAAAAAACTTTTTGGATTTTTTGGCTAATATATAAAAAATACTTTTTTTTTATTTTTGGGGGTCAAAACTCAAACATTTCAAAAATTCGAGATGGCGGTTTTGTAGCTCTGTCAATTTTACACCTTTTATGTCTTAATCATTTTTCTGTATCTTCAAAGCTGTAGGCTTGACAGCTCTTCTCGCGAAGGTCTTTTTTCGGTCGAAAATGGCAGAACATTATGTCATTCTGACGTCATTTGTGGCCAACTTATCATAGCTTCTGGAAAAAAATTAGTCACAATGTGTAAAATTGATGTCCGGAGGGGTCCTGAAAGTTTGGTGGCGATATCTCCAGCAGTTTAGGAGATATCGACGGAAAAGGACAGCGGGGGCCGGGGGCCGTTTCGCCCCCCCCCCCCTACGGGGCGCGGACTACAGAACTGCTATCTCGGAATTTTGATTTTTTTTATCTTGACCCCCAAAAATCAAAAAATATTTTTAATATAATTGCCAAAAATACAAAAAAAAATCGATTTTCGAAAAAAAACGAATAAATGTGATAGCCCTTACCAATTTCTATTCACATATCTACCAAAGTTAGATCGATAGGTACCTCTTTTTTGGCCAAGTTTTAGCAAGAAAAAAATAGTTCAAAATTAATGACGTCAAATTTTCGAACTCAATTTTTAGCAATTCTAGACCTCGTAGGGGCAAAACAAAGACCTCCATTACACTCGCCGTGACGAGCTGCATCGAACAATATCCATTTTATGTAAAGCTATCAACTTTGAAATTTGACCTTTTTGACCTGAAATTGACCTGACCTCCACCAGGAAGTGACCTAAACCGTTCCTGGTCGTCTTATAACCAACACCATTGAGTTTGAAATGAAAAATTGGCCATAAAACATGCATCACACAAACCTAGTAAAATTGGGTTCATGTGCTGACCCTTGGTGACCTGACCTCTGACCTGACCTGGTACTATCAGTAACCTTTTAGCAGCATTTGTACTAGGAAACTGACGCCCTATCGCTGATAGATAAAATGCGTTTTACTCGATGTTATAGCGCATTCCCTAGAAGACCCGTGACCGGAAAAGCATTTTATCTTTGACCTGATCTGTGACGTCATCGGTGACCCTGAGGTCAATGACATTGGATTTCCTTCGACAAATTTGACACGGCTTTCGAACGCTGTTTAATTTTGCGGATCCGTCCAGTAGTTTCGAAGATACGAGGGGGGCGGGCAAAAAATACCCCCTCCCACCTACCCACCAGGTCGCGTTGGACAGACTCTCGCGGGTTAATGACAATAAAATTACATAAATAGAGTCAATAAAGAATGTGACAAGGAAGTCATCAAAATTGTACAACATCGCGGAAATGACACGCAAAATTACCAAAATCACCTTGCACAGCCGATTGCCGCCATGTCACCAATTAATGGCACAGCAGGGCATATTTTAAGGCACTTACTGCGTCCCATTTTGGGACGCAGCCCCCTCGCCTTGGGACGAAGCCCCTGCTGATTTGACCCACTGCGTCCCTGCCCTGTGCCCTGTCCGATTCCCTGACCTGTGCCCTCCTGTCTACCCTGACCTGTACCCTTCCCTATAAAATGTCCTGTGCCATGCCCTGTAACCTGCCGTGCCCTACTTTCTGCCCTCCTCAGTGCCCTACTCTGTTCCTTGCCCTGTGCCCTTAGTCGTAGCACGTGCCCTCTGCTCAACTTTGGGACGCAGTAAAAATTTGTTAAAATATGCCCTGTGGCACAGTAATGAGTAATCTGATCATCAAGGGTGTTTGGTTTACGAAATAACCTAGGGTAGGCGATATTACCTGATGGGCGGCGTTCCTCCGTCTTCCCTTATTTGAAATTTTTCGGAGGTAAGGTCACTTGACCTGACCTTGAACCATGGCTGCGGAGTCGGAGTCGTTGTCGGAGTTGGAGTCGGTCGGAGTCGACAATTCTGCCCGGAGTCGGAGTCGGAGTTAACGCTGCATGGCTCCACGTCATGCACTGCACCTGTTGATTTGACGATACTGCTCTCGAAATTAGATTTTGTCGAAAAAATGACCACTGCGCTGTTTTGGACGAACGTTTTTTGCAGTGGAAGAAGCAGAAGACGGTAAATTCCCCAGATCCTGCTTGTTAATTCTGAATATTGTTTTTTATGCATATTTGCAACGCAAAGCCCTGGAACGCACTAAGGATCGTTTCAGGCAAGATAAAACATATCCATTATGAGCTTCAGTATCACGATATGGATTTTAATAGAACCGTCCGGAGTCGGAGTCGGAGCTGGAGTCGGAGTCAGAGTCGATTTTTAAAGCCGGACTCGGAGTCGGAGTCTGAGTCACCCTAAAGTCCATCGACTCCGCAGCCCTGCCTTGAACGACCCGGGTCTGAACTTTTACAACATGTGCAAAAAAAGAATAAAGATGTATGATTAGGTGATCTGAGCAGGGGCGGATCCAGGAAAACTCCAAGGGGAGGGAATTGAATCGAAGTGGTGCCCCTACCTATACCCAAAATTAAAAACTCAACGGATTTCGTCCACTTCATTTTGGTGGTGCCCCCATTTTCAGTTTTTTATTTTTATTTTTTATTTTTAGTCAGTATCTTACCTCTTAGCCACAACCACATTTACCAATTATAAGCAAGTATATATGAATGTGCTATGTGTATATATGTTGTGGACGCTGAGTAATGAGTACTTACCAGGAACGTTATCAGGTAAGCAAATCGTTGTCAGTCCGACGAACTTGACCCTGGCGTCTAAAGGGTCTGTCCTTGACACTTCAGGCTTGTCAGGGGCACCAAAGTCCTTCCAGGGACACCACAAACCTGTCAGGGGCACCTACGGCCTTGTAGGGGCGCCACAGGCCCGCCAGGGGCACCACAGGCCTGCCAGGAAGCAGGGGCACCACAGGTCTAGCAAGTATACACGACAGGCCTGTCAGGGGCACAACGGGCCTGTTGGGCCCATGAGCACCCCTAGGGGCAGGGGCACCACAGTCCTTCCAGGGGCACCGCAGGCCTGTGAGGGGCACCAGCGGCCTAGCAGGGGCACCAGTCAACACAGGCCTGCCAGGGGCACCACAGACCTGCCAGGGGCACCAGAGGCCTGCCAGGAGCACCACCGACCTCGCAGGGGTAACTTGGGCCTGTCAGGGCCCAGGGGCACCACGGGCCTGTCGAGAGGCACTTCAGGCTTTTCAGGGGCACCATAGTCCTCTCAGGGCGCAGGGGTAACAGGGGCACCAGAGGCCTGCCAGGGGCACTACAGGCCTAGCAAGGGCACCACTGGTCTATCAGGGGCACCACGAGCCTGTCATAGCCAGGCATCTCAGGCTTGTCAAGGCCCAGCGGCACCACAGGTCTGTGAGGGGCACCAGCGACCTAGCAGGGGCACCAGTCAACACAGGTCTGCCAGGGGCGCCACAGACCTGCCAGGGGCACCACAGACCTGCCAGGGGCACCAGAGGCCTGCCAGGGGCACCACCGGCCTCGCAGGGGCACCTTGGGCCTGTCAGGGGCACGACGGGCCTGCCGAGGGGCACTTCAGACTTTTCAGGGGCACCAGTCCTCTCCGGGCGCAGGGGCACCAGAGGCCTGCCAGGGGCACCAGCGGCCTAGCAAGGGCACCAGAGGCCTGCCAGGGGCACCAGCGGCCTAGCAAGGGCACCAGAGGCCTGCCAGGGGCACCACAGGCCTAACAAGGGCACCACGGGCCTGTCAGGGGCACCTCAGGCTTGTCAGGGCCCAGGGACACCACAGTCCTTCCAAGGGCACCGCAAGCCTGTCAGGGGCACCAGAGGCCTGCCAGGGGCACCACAGGCCTAGCAAGGGCACCTCTGGCCTGTCAGGGGCACCTCAGGCTTGTCAGGGCCCAGGGGCACCACAGTCCTTCCAGGGGCATTACAAGCCTGTCAGGGGCACCAGAGGCCTAGCAAGGGCACCACAGGCCTGCCATGGACACCACAGGCCTGCCAGGGGCACCACCGGCCTTACAGGGGCGCCTCAGGCCTGTCAGGGGCACCACGTGCCTGCCGGGGACACTTCAGGCTTGTCAGGGGCGTTACAGTCCTGTCAGGGCCCAGGGGCACCAGGCCCGTGGTGTCCCTGCCAGGCCTGTGGTGCCCCTGGCGGTCCTGTGGTGCCCCTGTCAGGACTGTGATACCCCTGATAGGCCGGTGGTGCCCCTGGAAGGTCTTTGGGCCCCCGGGCCTCAAGGGGGGGGGGGGCCATGACTCATGTGACCCCCCCTTGGATCCGCCCCTGGATCTGAGCTCAATATGGGCTGTCTTGGCTGACATTGATAAGGTGTGTAAAAAAGCCTGAGGGGGGGGCTTCAAAACGCCCCGTCCCCAGGCCCCAGCGATACCAAAGCGGTACGGCGCGGGCTAGATTTTTAACCACTCTACGACGATTGCGAGAACCCCAGTTTGTTATGAAATAATAAGCGCAGGTATGTGAGTATACCGGATGCATGCAACTGGGTTCGAGCAAATAGTTAGTACCGCATGAGCTCGACGAGATCGGGTCCAATAGGCTTCTGGCCTCTAAACTAAAAGTCCCGCTAATGTAATGTAAGAAATAATGTGAGGAATGTGAGATATAAATTCGCTGTCGCTTGTCTGCGATCAGTGCGACATTTTGTCGCTTGTACGTCAGAATGCGAACATTCTGAATGCTTGATTCTGTACTCTGTGTGCGACGTAATAAGTTTTTAAAAAGTAAATTATTTTTTAAAAGTTAAAGTTGAAATGTTAGTTTCATATTCTTTTATTGATTTTAAGCAATGAATTCAAAGTATTTTAAGTCCTCAAATATCATTAAGGCAGCAATAAAAGTAAAATTTGAGGAAAAAATGGCAAGCCAACAAGCTGTTGATTTGTTGAATTTTGATGACGTCAAAAACAAAATAAGTAATCTTTTGAGTACAGTTTGTATAGAAATTTGTTTCACTGAGCAGCTATATTTTTCAGAGAATACTTGGATATTACGTTTTCACTGGCATTCAAAACAGGATTTGGGTTGGGTGTGAAGTTGTGAATTTATAGACAGATAAATGAAAATTATTTTTATCATTGGTATATTATGTAAGTTGCAACTAATCTTTCAATTAGGCTGAGCAGCTGAGTTAGGTAGGTACCTACCTGAATTGACAGGGTGTTTCAGTTCGGCGACCACATCCTATTTGATAGAGATTTAAGTGCTAGATAATCATGAATCTGTTTTATTTCATTATATGCCATCTTATAGCTTCAGCAGCTATTGAGGCACAATGGGAATGCCCCACAGGCCCTGTGAAATCTGCCATTGCTGGGCAATGTTGATGTTGATGTTATTGAAGCTAACATGACGTTTCTAGCGATGTCAATTCCAATCCAAGTTGAAGATAGAATATAGGTAATACTAGGGCAATACATTCAGCTGGAAGATAAATACTGGCTCTAGCTGAAGTCGTATTACTTGTTGTTTATGTGTCTACTATCAAGCAAGGTGTCTTTTTAGTTTCAGGTCGAGGTAGCATGGCGTGACGGAATGTGTATTGCAAGACCTGCCACTGGAAGGTTGAAAATTGTTTTAGCATAGTTCAAGACTGATAACAGTTGACATGAACCAACATATGTGGTAGGTTCTTCTGAAATGAAGAACAACTGCTAGCTAGTTTTAAGTTCATTTTCATCAGGAGGTTTAATGTTGTTAAACTGAAATAATATGATAGAATTGAATGATAACCTTATGCTCATTTTTTAAGGTTTTTTGGTTGATAATGAATGAGTTAGCTAATTCATTAATATAATTCAGCTGGCACCATCTTCAGAATGACATTCTGATGATGGTGCTGGCACAAGCTGAAATGTATTTATGAATTGGTTTACTCATTCATTATCAATCAAAAAACTTTAAAGAAAGAGCATAAGTTTATTATTCCATACCATTTTCCTAACAATAATGCTCAAACATGACATTGCTTGTCTTCAATAAAATAATATAGGTAGGTGCTTTGCATTCACATTTTTGGATAATTGAGCTATGATTTACTTATCTATTTCTTTTGCCTAAATACACATTAATCAATAGTGTTATGTTGTGAAAACTTCAAACTGAAATACCTAAGGCCAAGACAATGTGAGATGTTGATAATCAATAAATTAGTACCTACCAAATTAGATACCTAGTAGGCAATTCAATGATTTAATGCTATTAAGATTTCAGGCCTTTCTTTTTTAGTTTCATCTCCAATTTTTCCACTCCCAATTTTAACAAAGCATTTGCATGGATGGTCCACTTATATATTATGTCCTACCATAATTGCGTTTAAAATTTTACCTTTGATATCCTTCTCTTCTATTTTTGGGCATTACCTGAACACACATTTTTCACTCTCATCCCCTTTTTGGTGAGAAATTTTCCTCTCAGACATCCAATTCAAAATACAATTTTAGGACACTGCCTGATATTGCATGACATGTTCAATTAAAAAATGTCATTTCCTTGTATTCCTTGACCTCTCTCTGGTGCAAAATTGGTTAGGCTGAGCTATCAGTTGCTGCAACAGCAGTAGTCTATACTGATGCATTTTTGTGCGTTTCAGGTATCCTTGCGACGACAACCGTGATGAAGTGCGCGTGGCGATGCCCATTTCGACCGAGCATCGGGGCGAGTTTGAGTTCCGCTCTCTCACTCCCGGCGACATCGACACCGTATGTAGGAAGGAGGGAGAGCGCCAACTGATGAAGTTACCACCCCTGCGTGGATAACGATCTCACCATGGGAGCTCCCCCAAGCACTAACAAATAAAAAACGAATGACTGTGTAGCGCGTCAGTAGATTCCTTCTCCGATGACGATATCACTCGCTGTTTTTCTGCTTCTTAACATGAAATGTAGTGAGGTGGTGAGCCCCAAAAGCCCAAGCCGACCCCTGCCTCCGTACTACCTTTGAATAACCATGTTACGCTCACTTCGCCAGGTCCGTCGGCTATGCAAGGAGTGGTTTCCCGTGGAGTATCCGGACAGCTGGTTCCGCGATATCTGCACCAACAGCAGGTTCTTCACCCGCGTCGCCTGCTACCAGGCCACCATCATCGCCTTCATTGTGGCAGAGGTCAAAATCTACGCTCTCCTGACTAAAGAGGTCAGAATGGACATCCTGTTATTGTAATGGAGGGACTGGTGTAATTTAACGTTTTCCTCCATAAATGATGCAGAAATCGATAATGAATCTACTATATGTAAGGTTCCCCGTTGTCTAAGGTTCCCCGGTAAGGCTCCCCATTTTCTTTACCTATCTTTTTTGTTTTCGGTATCCATGTTTGTTGATTCTCGAGGCTGTCATGTCCGCATTTTTGGCTTTCCGTTAACGTGATATGACTGTTGCCGTTACATGTCACGACTTTCCATGACTGTTTCGTGCCGAGCCTTTCCGGTACTGTTTCGTGTTGTGACCGGTCCGCCCGTGTCGTCCTGCCGACAGGAGCGCAGTATGCTGGCTGCTTCCTTCCCACGACGCACCCAGATGGCGTACATTCTCAGTCTTGGCGTGAGTACGACACTGGCCGGCGGCCAACTTTCTCGGTACCGGCCTCTGTAGGGCCTGGGAGGGGGATGATCCTCTGCAGGCCTCGTTGGCCGGCTGTTGTGTTTCTCGCTAACTCGATTTTACAGTTCCCACCGACCATCCACTGAACGGTGTGTTTGTTTGTGTTTGTACCGTCGTCGGGGCTGATATTCAGACAGTTTATTTCCATGTCGGGCTACCGGTCTCGTGTATTACGGCTATGAATACCTCTGTAATCCCAGTTCGGTGTATCCGGTGTTCGTGACGGGCTGCTATCCCCCACTGCCGTCTGTGGGGCCGGGGACTGTCGACGCCTCCGATCCCGTGTCGGCCGCTCGTACCGCGTCACCTTGGACGGCGCTCTCAGGGCACCGTCAGTTGACGCTGTCTTTGGCCGGGATGTCAATAGGGCGCCTTTGTCTGGGCACGCTCCTGATGGGGCCAGAGGGGGCCATAACTGTGGGGGCTATAACTGGGCAGTTTAACGACTATCTTATATGCTCTACGCACCGCACAGCTACACACGCAGTGTCCAGCTCAAGGGTCTCGCTATGCCCTCTGACCTGCGTTAGGCTGTCTCGAATATCACCCTCAAGGCTATAGAACTCCAGGTAAGGACACCAGCCGTTTGACCTTGAACGCCGCCGGCTGGCCGATGACGTCATTGGAGGCAAGCCGGCTCGGCGGACGCATCGAGCGAGCGTATAACGGAGGAGCGTTGGACGTTGCGGGAGCCGGAGAGAGATTTTGTTTGCATACCACCATTGTTATGTTGATTGATCTAGACTGCATTCTTATAAAGCTCGACGCATCTTAGGCCTGGATGGTGCGTACATTCGTAGAACGGTCCGACGTCCGTGGTCGAAGCTGTCTACTCTACATGTACCAAAAGACGCTAAGACCGGTGCAATAACGGCGACCCAATCCCGTACCTGGCGATTCTAGGACTCGTTAGGACCCAGGCCGAGTCTGACCCGTCTATTTTTAGGGAAGCGGAGTGGGTGAATTGACAACCGAGTACCGATGGTTAGAATTGATCCCGTCGTCGAGCGATGGTTGATTGACAGACAACACATGTTGTAGTGGGCGGATAAGCATCAGGGATAATGCCTGAACGTAGGCAAGCATAATTGGTCAGCCATATTGTTTAGGAATATAAAATCGTAACGGAGGTCATTGAAGATATTATTTCTACATTACGAGGATTCACCACCAGTGAAAATTACTACTGTTAAACCCTCGGTCCCGGGCAACTCCGGGGAGCTGCAGTATCCGGCGGCCACCTCGTCGACTCGCAGGTCCTGTGGGCTTCCGTGATGCTTCAGTGCTTCACCCAGAGGCACGGGTAGAGCAGTAGGATGTGGGGTGAGGTGTCTGTACGCCTCTTCATTGTAGGTACGATGCATACAGCGCCCAGTCCCGTCGAAGCTCGATAATCGACCGTGACATATTCTTAATTGGCGGATCCAGGAAGCGGTCTTGAACACGTCGGGGGGCATATACCCTAAAAAAGGTTTCTGTGCATTAAAAAAAAAAACATCTGATTTCGATTCCTTGCGCACTACTGTGCACTTCGATCAATACACTTTTCCTCATAAAAGTTGTGAAGTTTTCGTTTTATTCTTGAAAAACGATTTCGGACGCTGCCCCGGATGTGGGCCTGTGGGGGATAACATTTGTCCCAAATGCCTTCCCTTGCATCCGCCAGCGGGTTGCCCCGCCCTGAGCTTAACTAAAAACGTCTTAAAATCCGGTCCCACCAGAGAGCCGAATCCGATAACTCATCTCTGTCTGCCCGTCTAAATTACCTCGCACCGTACGGCGCCCGGCCCCGTCGGAGCACTGAACCGACCGTGATATTTTTAGTTTTCCCCCATCCCCAGCTCCATTAGAAACGTTCTCTCTCCCCATCCAATTGCTCATGATGTCATTTCAAATTCAATACCTACCTCATCTCTGTCTGCCCGCCCATTCATTGCACACCTTACGGCGCCCGGCACCGCCAGAAGGATCCTAGCGCGCTGAGTGGTTGCCTCCAGCCGCGTCATCACGAGGCCCCGCGGGGCCCGCAAATGAATACATTGCGTGAATAGCCGTGTCGCCCCCCTGATCACCCTATGCCGCTCTCTGATGCGCGCCGGGCGCTCTCCGACAGGTGTCGGCCGAGTACCGGCGGCGCGGCCTGGCCTCGCAGCTGCTGGGTCTGCTGCTCAGTGAACTGCGCACGGCCGAACACGCAGACTGCCGCGCCGTCTACCTGCACGTGCTCACCTCCAACAGCCCGGCGCTGCGCTTCTACGAGCGGCACAAGTTTAGGTGAGCGGCAACGGAGCGGTGACTGAGGAACGGGGAGAGAAGATGGCGGTAGCTATCGCAGGGGGAAAATATGAGGGTAGTCTGGTGGCAGCAGGCGACCTGGATTGCACAGCCGCTGCAGGCCTGGTGTGCTGTGCATGTTCCCTGTAATTTAACAGCGGTAGCGTTTGTGCGAGTAATGCCTTGTTGGCGATGACAAGACGTTACAACGCACCGCTATATCGAGGCTGTTCAATAAGTATTAGCGTTTAGCGGGTAAGGTGATAATGTGATTCTGGAGCTGCTCATTGATATTATACTCATATACTGATTCTGTCGCAGGCTTCACACGTTCCTGCCGTACTTTTACAAGATCGACGGGAAGTATCGTGACGGTTTTCTGTACGTGTACTACATCAACGGCGGACACCCGTCTTACGGCGCGCTCGACTATGTCGTCTACGCCTTCAGCCTGTTCTACGAGTTCAGTCCGTGTGCGGTGGCCCGCGCCGCCGTCCGCCTGCTGCGCCGCGCCGTCAAGTTCGTGCTGCCGCAGGGCCGGCGCACCACAGAGACGATCGCCTGTCTGTCGTAACACGCGGCCAGAGCGGGCCGGGCGCTGCCGGGCTCAGAGGTACTCCTGCCCTGCCGTCCGGCGACGCTAGTTGTGATAGGATTGTGACGATGCAAAATTGACGCCTCACAGTGGAAACCAATGATCAATTCCCTTTTTTCCAAATGCTGCATTTGGAGTTAGGTATCCCATCATTATTGGTGTAAACTGCAAGTTTGACCTTTCTTGTTTCCGATGTCCGATGCCGCTCGGTAGTCGGTGTTTGGTTTGCCCCCACGGGACCTGTTCATTGTTGCTCCATGCTGTTTGGCCGTAGCGGGTAATGCACCGCTATTAACGTTGGTCACATTTGGGTATTAGCTGTTTCGCCCCGTACAGTGTTGTAATCTGATATTAGAGCTCCAAATAAGTCACGTGACGTCATTTTTACAAACTGTTGCAATGTATCAGCGAAACTGCATTGGCCGCTGCGCTGAGAGCCAGTATTGGCTGGCAGGGGCGGTGCTGACCGGTTTATTGGGCGTCCTACTGTCGCACTAGGCGACAGCCAGTCAGCTATTGCACGATATCATTGGTGTACCGGTCTGCCGGTGCGCCTGGGGATGCATTTACCTCGCCCTGTGTGCCGCAGCTCAGTGCGGCTCGATGCAATCCTCGGACGCGTCGTATATCACTCGTTGTATTTGCGGTCTACGCCGTTATCCGTTTTGCGGCCGGAGAGGATATTTGGCTGTAGCTCTGTTGGGCACTGTGCCGGGCTCCCTGTGCGGCGGACACTGGCCCGGTCCGGCGGCTGCTGGTATGTATCTCCAGAACGGCTGCGGTGCAGTGCGAGCGGGAGTCTGTTTTCAGAGATCCAACTCTGCCCCTGCTTTCATTGATCATGTTGGATTTTCCCCATGTGGCGGTATTTGTGACAATATTTGTCCTCCCCGTTCGGTCGCGAGTCGGTTTGGCCGTGCCTGTTACCGTGGTGCGAGATGTGACTGTGAACATTACCCAATGGGTGGGCGCAGATGGGTTGTGCGCTGTCACCATCGGCGGCACTGAGGTGGGTCGGCGGCCGGCGCGTCATTCATGCTCACCACTCGCCAGCGCCGCGCCGCGCCCCACGGGCCGTGCGTGCCCCGCGCCAGCCGGCCGTGCAGATCTCGAGTCGTGTGCCTTGTGGGCGGCCCGCCCGCTGCCGGCGCGTGGCGGCCGACCGTTCATCCTCTGCTCGCCGCCGGCCGAAACGCGCAGAATATGTGAGCTCGCCGTTTGGATGTTCGCTAGTCAGCTCTACTTCGTGCTTGTAATCCTCCCGATCGTGTGGGTTTTATGTTGTACTCGAAGGGTCATCCTTTACCATCCAAACGCCTGTATATTTCTGTCGCCAATCAGCCGTACAACCGTCGTTGCTACATGTGAAATGCCACGATGGACTTTCAATCATGTATTGCTTATCATTTTAGTACCATTATGTGATTAGTATGAGATTCGTGTTATCGTATCAAATCATTTTCCGGAGTGAATTGTGGCATTGTATGGAGGACTTGCTGACACGCTTAGAAATACATTATGTATGTTTACCGTGGTGCGTACTGGAATAATGACTCACTATATCGTCAAAACTTTTGCTATTGCTAATTGAAAACCGGGTGACGGACATTGTTCCGATAGTAACTACTATGCGTCGATTAAATCTATTTGGATATGCTCAGCCCACGTTAAAGAAGAGCGACTTCGAAGTTCGATGTCGAGTGGTTTCACGGGTTGTGTTGTGTATCACATTGCTCTCAGGAAATCAGTCTTCTAATTCGGGTCGACTGCCGAGCCATGAAGGGGCTGGCTATGTCCAGATAAATTTTCGCGAAGCTGCTGGTGGCAGTCAAGCATGTGGGGCCGAATATGCTCCTAGTTGCAGTAGCGGCGGAACACCTTCGACTTTTGGTCCCAATCTTTTCATGCAACGCCCATAGGGCTAATGTTAAAATGCCAAAATCAAAGGGGGCACGGTGCCCCGGTGCCCTCCCCGTTCCACCGCCTAGGTCTAGTTGTATAGAAATTATGTGGAAATCTTACACTAGCTACTGCCGAGGATTTTTTTTTTGTAGAGAATGTGGCAGCTCTAAGTCTTCGAGCATAATATGGAACAATTTTCTACTTATGTGATGGACCTCATTTTTATTATTTTCATCTATCAGCTAACTAACTATAATTTTAAATATTTAAACAACTACTTTCCATAGTCTTTACATAGCCTTGTACTATCCTATCCCTTTATTGGTAAGATTATTCAAATCCAACCGCAGGGGGCGCTAGTGTTTTGTGGCAAGTAATGCGTAAACACAGCCAGCTGATCCAAATTCTTGTTTACTGTCAATCTGGCGCGGAAGAGAGGAGGGAATGGGTGGATTTGAGTGCTGGTAGTTTTGTTTGTCCAATATTCGTGCCCATAATTTGGTCTGGTCTTGTTGAGGGACAATTCTAGGTAAGAGGGCTTTACTTGGTGCAATATTCCTGGGACTCAAGCTCCAGCCCCTCTGCGCAGCAAATGTCCCATTTGCGTCATAAGTGATATCAGCTCAATTTTAAAAACTTTTTGTTAGTGAAAGGCCCAACCTAAGCCTACCTTAAGCCTGCAACTTACCCTTAAAAGCCTGTGTAATGCTCACCCTTAAATAGGATATCTTTCGATTCTCATCGGACACATTGGTTCCGTCCTCCACCTCGGGGTACGCTACAGAGACAGAGCGAGGGATGGGTGTTTTTATCAAATACTGCCTGAAAAGCTCAGTTGGGCAAACTAGACTTTTGGAATCAAAATATGGAGGCATCAATAATTTGATTCTGGTGCATCAATAATTTGATTCTGGTGGGAGGAGCCATGACCAAATATGGGCATGGAATCAATTTTTTGATTCATTTGGGTACACTTTTGACTTCAAATGTATCGTTACGGTTGAAAAAAGGCCCATGACGGTGAGATTTTTCTCTAAAAAGGTAGAAAAATGTGGTAGGTTTGCAAAAAGTGTTACCTCAAAACTAAGAAATTGTCCCTTTGGCCTTGTGAATGGGAATAAGACAGAGCCACTGTCCATCACGTAAAAGCTGTTTTGAGGAAATCACACTGTGTGTTATTTTTGTATCATGAATCACATACTAACCAATCAGTATTTGTGTAAAATGGCAAAATGAAATTTTCAAACCCCTAATTATCATTATTCTAGTGCTTTTATATTTATTATATGGTTTTTACCTGTTGCTTCAGTTTTTGTATTCTTGACCTTTAAAAATTGTGAATTGTTATCAAATGTAGTGAAGGTAAAGTACAACAATGCTATAGGTATCTGTTGTGGTGCTGAGGATACCACTAAATGAGAATAATAGCAAGATAAATATTGTATTCTTGCAAGTCATTGTTGCCTATCTGTTAACATTACCTGTGAATCAAAATAATGATTAGCCAGCTGATGGGGAATCAATATTATGATTATCTGTATGAAGTGAATCAATTTCTTGATTGCCTTTCACTACCTATAGAATTCAAATTGTTATGATAGGAGCAATATTATTTTGCTTAGGAGATAGTTCCAGCATTTCTGTTCAAGATCAGGCATGCTCCTTCTTGAAACACTCTCTTATTTTTATGTGATTGGTAAGTTAGAAATGGTCTGCATTTATGCCCAAATATGGTCATAAGGAATCAATCTTTTGATGCCTCCATATTTTGATTCCAAAGGTCTAGTTTGCCCAACTGAGCTGTGTTCATTCAAGTGTAGGGAGCCTTTTGATACTAATAAGTACCTGTTTAAGTCCAGGATCCCAGACCAATGCCACAACAGAGTTCATGATCTTTAGGTACTGCAAGCCGCAAGGTTAAAGCCGTGAAGCACGTACAACAGCTGACGTCAGATTTCAGAATTCATGAGTCCTACTGGCTACCATCCTAGATGATCATATGCAGTCTGAGGATGCTTAAGTAACATAGATTTGCTGAGCTTTCATTTTGAACAACTGAATAGTATTACTTTTGACCCTCTTACTAGCTTTCACTATGGACTTAGTCCAAACAAGGGCAGCTTTTTTCTTTCTCTTCCATGATTGTGCATTTGTTTATTTAATGACAGTATTGCATCTTTACAACATATTCCACTCTGATGTAATTAACATGTTCACCTTTTGACATACAATTAATATAACCTTTAGCTAGTACCTAGGTAACGTAATCTTGTATGGATAACAATGCAAAAACATCTATGGTGATTGGTGAATGTTTGCTTTGTTTTCTAGGCTGTGTAAGAAATGTATGTATCATGAAACAATTTTTCAAGGAATTTTGGAATTATTTAAGTGTCTTTTATCCAGGTATTCACTTACGTGACATATCATGTTTCTTGTAAATCCTCAACCCAGACTCTGGTAACATACCTAATGACTTGTTCATTTCAGTGGTGCAGCGATGTCTTCCCCTGAGGAAAAGGTATCTGCAAGCATCTCTGAGGAGCCAGAAGAATCTGGAAATGATGCTAAGAAGCCTGAGGTAATGTTCATGTGTAACATGTGTGGCTGGTCAAGTTTTTAGAAAGCTTTGTGGTAACAAGCTGAATTGGACAAGCATGAAGCTTCTATGAATTTTATAGGCACCTTCAAAATGAACTACTTTAAGATTCCAAGTCGCCCTTGTCAGCAGCTGTGCCTGGGGAAAGTCAACACTTTCATTGCTTGCCAATTGGTATCAAATTTTGAAGCTGTGTAGCTATTCTATAAAAACATGCTTTCTGTCATCTTCAGTCCATATTTTTATGCCCAAACATTTTTTCAGTCAGCTACCTATGCACACAATGGGAACAAAAAGAGATTCGTAACACGAATCACGAAAAATAGATTCGTAACACGATTTTCCTCGTCCTCAGCCCAACCCGATGCTAGCGGAGGAGGCCAAACTGAAGGCAAAGTACCCAAATATGGGACGACCAAGTGCTGGTCACTCGGCGTTTCTGCAAAAGCGATTGCAGAAAGGGGTGAGTAAGAGTTTTAGTTTTTCGTTGTACGCACATGTCTATCTGTTGTGGCTATCTAATTTGTCCAGGTATGCAGAGGCGGAGGTTGGAGTCGGTCTCTAGCCGAAGTCGGAGTCGCTTAAATCTTGCCAGCTTCGACTCTGGAGTATTAAGTCGACATTGCGTTACCAACCCCATGCTCTATGTCAGCGGTTCGTAAAACTTTGCGCCTCCCAGTCCAACTGTGGGATCTTCAGCGCTTCCAAGTGACCTGAAACAGCCGTGGTAAACAGCTCTCAGTAAACAGCCATCCTGTTGACCATGGACTTGCCTGTCGTAACTCGTAGGCGATAGTGCTGGATGTTTATGGGACGTGAACGCCTATAATATCGATTGAATTTGATGAATCATTTGTTGTGCTGACGGACATCACTTTTATTTCCAGGCATAGCCCTAGTCCCTACGAATCCTAAGCGTATCGCAAATGCATGTAAGAGTGGGCTGTCGGGTGTCGGTTAAAATTCATGCCTTTGTTCGTCTTTAACAGTGTACGAAAAAAACGGTGTCAAACCGCCGACTAGTTTTTTCCCGTAATTTCCCTTTAAACAAAGCGTAGTCGTGTAGAGTATTCCATTAACCCGCGCCCCGCTGGGCTATTCACTTCAGCCATACCCGCCCTGCTGGGGGGGGGGGAGGGGGCAGATTCTGCCCCCCCTGTCTAACTTCCGAACCGATGGTCGTAAAAGACGGGGAAAACGGCAATCGAAAGCTCTCAACAAGACGGATCTTAAGAGCCCAAATTTTTTTGCTTAAGCAGGTCAGAGGTCAGGTCAAGGTCAGGTCAAGGGTACAAAATGCAAGTTTCTACATTATCGGCCTTGCACCGTAGTTGCCGAAGAATGGACTGATACTGATTGCCCAAAATGTGTTCTTAGGCTACCAAGACAACATTCGTTGCATACAATAGCATTCAAAGGTCAAGGTCAAGGTCAGGTCAGGTCAGGTCACCAAAAACAAAATATATAAAAGGGCATGTGCGACACATGTTGTATGGGTCATTTTATTCATAGAATTCAATAGGCACACTCAATAAGTGATATGGACCACCTCTGGATGAATTTCAGGTCGAGGTCAGGTCAAGTGAGGTCAAATTTTGAAGTTGGTTGTTAAGGCCCAAAAAGGTGTCTATCTGATGTAGCTTTTCACGGCGAATCGAATGGTGCTATTTTTGTTTCCGTACGAGGTCTAGAACTTAAAAAAATCATTATTTTTAATTTTGTGTGTCGTGACGTCATAAAATTTTGAATAATTCCCACATTTTTGAAGCGATTCTTCTGAAAATTGGTATGTAGGTGCACATACAGGGTGTCCCAGAATTACCCGGACATTTATTTTCTGGCTAAAAGTACGACTGCGCTCGCTTCTAATGATATACAAGCAGCATACTTTTATAAGATATCTCTTAGCTATCGAGATTGGGGACTGTGTGCTTTTGGTGGCCGGTAACGACTCGAATCAATTATTATCCAGAGTCAAGTAAGAGTACCTAGTCCTTTTCCGTTTTCAGCTTAAGCCACTAATAGGCAACCATGGTGAATCAACTCCCGTTCTCAACTTTGTAAACGGACTTTCGGCATGGTTTTTGCTGGAGAGCTTCAGCAGCTCATCTGCAAGCAGTTAGGATTGAGCAAAGCGCAATTATATCAGCTAACGAAGCCAGAGAGAGCAAGAGATAAACCTGATTGACAGCTTGGGCTCGGCCAAAAAGGGTCATGCACCAGTTGTCAAACAAGTGGTTGCTTGTCATAGACAACAAACGTCACCGATCTAGCTAAAAACTAGCTAAACAATAGATCAGGATTATCTACAAAACATGAGTCTACTTTGCACCACTATCTTCGACAAAATTTTGGAATTTGGGGTCCTTCGCCAGAAAAAATATGCGAAAACTACGGGAAAAGCAGCGCAAATCACTACAATGCATCCCAAAAACATAACATATACAACAAAACAGTATATTGAGGCACACTTTGTGGTCTAACGAAGGTATTATGTCATTTGAACCGCCCGAAAAAGGCGTGTGTGAATGTCAGATGGCTACAACGCCCCAACAGCAGAGACGGCCAGGCACCCGTCGAAAATCAAATTTTGAGACATTTTGAGCCACCGTGCACTCATTGGCTTGATATGATGGCCCAAAGACAACCGATAGCACAGGGTACTACTGCGGCAATATTCTACCAGTGCGAAAACTGGATGCCGTGAACCAAATTGCCATGAACGGGTTTGTTTTGGAAACCAAATCTGTTGGAAGCCAAAGGTTGCGCAATGTTCAGACATGGAGCTTCTCCACTCCAGATGTAAAAAACGCAGCAAAAGTGGCGTAGGCAGAAATTTTTGTTTTGGGGAATAATACCTTATGGCCTGGGAACACTTTGATGTCAAGTTTATCTTATATGATCGTATTATCCTCCGGCAAGAGGTCAAAGAAAACAGGCCTACACCCAGTTTCGGGAGACCCGTAAAACAACTAAGACCAGCAATGGCTGGCATTTTCCATCATTGTCGGCTGATCTTGTAACAAGCGTATCTATTGCATGTGCTATTTCACAGCCACCCTAGTTGACTATATAGGACGGTAAAAAGAAAAAAGCGCAATCATGTTTGCCTTATTTTATACGCTTGTCCGGGTAATTATGGGACACCCTGTAGACCACTTCTCAGACATATATTCCGGGTTTTTCGATACACTCAGATTTTTGGATTTTATAATTTTCTCAAAAAAGTCAGTTTTTTGAAAAAAGTTGGGCCAAAATCCAAAATTTTCAAAAAATCAAGATAGCCATTTGATAGACAAAGTAGAATCACGTATAACCTTTTTGGTTACGTCTTGATTCCTTTAAAAATGAAGATGTTAGCGGCGTTTGAAATTTTGCCGTTTTTGAGGCGAAAATGGCGAACATGACGTCACTAAAACGTCATTTTCTCAAAAAAAATTCGACGGATTTCGCTCAAATTTTCAGGGAACGTGTCAAATTGATGTATGATAAGGTACTGAAAGTTTCACGTCGCTGGCGTAACGCGTTTAGAAGTTATTGCCCCCCCCCCCCCCCCAGCGGGGCGCGGGTTAACGAAAAGAATGTTTCCTGACATACCTGTTCAATAAGTTCATGGTATCTTTTTACAGCATTCATTAGCGTTCCCCGCCCTTTCGGTCAAGACCTGTAATATCGACAGAGACAATGTTTTCTTCATACCGTTTTCTCATGTTCCAGCAAAAATATTTCGATTCGGGCGACTACCAGATGGCGAAGCAGCGCGGCCCGCTGAGCATGATGCGGGGATCTCAGATGCGGGGCGCGCCGCCCACCGGCGAGACCATCCCCACCCCCGAGACGCTACCTTCGCGCAAGACGTCGCTCGTGCAGAACAATAAGACGCCGCTCACCTAATGTGGCGCGGCGCTGGTGCGACGGGCCGTCGGCCGCCGGTGCCGGCAGCGCCGCCGGCCGCGGCCCGAGACTGACTGTGAGACTAGCCGCCGGGCGCGGCTTCGTCCGGCGGCGCCCGTCTCTGATGTACCGTATCCCTCACTGCTGGCGGCGGCACCGCGCGCAGAGGCAGCGCCGCTCCCGTCCCATGTTCGGGCCGGAAGACACGCGACAGGAGGTAGAAGCAGAATCTTCGATGGGGCGCAAGTGACCCGGTGTTCGCTTGTATTTTCTTCAGAGGATACAATACAAGTAAATTTCCTTGTTTCTTTAGTGACTACTTAGTATGCTCCGCTATTAAAATGTTCTTTTTAGGGAGTGTTATGTGTAACATGAGTTCGTTTCCCTCTTTAGATGATATTTGAGTGCTTCGAAAATACGGGCATGGAGGTTGGGCTCTTGCTATTTGTTTTGCAATTTGCGATGTTTTTTTTTTGGAATCTGATAAATACAATTGTATTCTTCCTGTGTATTTAACCGAATTTTTGTATTTATTAGCTATGGTTTTAACTTGTAACATCACGTATTATGTAGACAGTCATGAGTTAGCGAATAATGCTTAGGGAAATTCAATCAAGTACGGAATGGCAAAAGTGAATGGAAGGCGGTGGCGCCGCCGGAGCCAGTCTGGACTTGTGGAGTAAAGAGCGCGTCTCAGATTTTGCTTGTTTGTCTGCCTGTTTTGTATTAGTCCCTTTCCGGCTTACGAGACCATTTCATAGCCGAAAGGATGATAGGAATTATGAGGAGACATTGGTCCGGGCGGCAACTCTGTAGCCGGCGCGAGGCGCCGGGACTGAATACGTGTTGAGGACAGGCCAACCAGCCCCGAAAACGGTTACCCCACTGACCCCACGTCACATGAGGCTAGCCTTGCGTGAGGCTGCTCCTGAGGAGCTGTTAGCGTCGGATCAAGTTGACTAGTTACTCAATCCGGATTGGGGGTATTTGGCGTGGAGAAGGATTTGAGCATTGAGCAAGGCCGTAGAAGAGGATTTGAGCTGTCCATGTCCATGTTTTGAATATTTATAGTCACCGCCCAGTAAACATGCCGACGTCGGCCCGACGTCGGCCGACGTCGGGGTGACGTCGGTAACTCGGCATCGGCATGCCGACGTCGGCCCGACGTCGGTCCAACCTCGGCACGACGTCGGCTGGATGTCGGATATGCCCGCATGTTCCGACGTCCAGCCGAGGTCCAGCCGACGTCGGGCCGACGTCGGACCGAGATCAATTGCTGAGGTCCAGCCGACGTCGGGGCGACGTCGGACCGACATCGGCCGCTGTTTTGACCGTTAAAATATTATAAAATACATGTTTCATGTTTCATAAAGAGCTTCTGTATTCAAAATATCCTCAGGAAATTCAAATCTTCCTCCACGCCGCAACCCCCTGATCCGGACTGGACGGGAAACTTTATCCCATTTGGGATTGCCCGTAAGCCGAGCTCGCCCGTAGCCGGGTGCGGTGAGTGCTTGGGGGCTGCTCGGCCTATCCTTTGGTCAGGCTCAGCCCCGGCAACTCACCAGGGCCGGGCCCAGTTCATATAGAAAGGCCAGTCGGCAAGTGTCACTTTGCCAAAGTGCCACTTATCAAAGGGACACTTTGGGAAACGTTGGTGCAGGTGTGTACGAGTGGCTATATGAATCCATTGTGGGGTCGCCCTTTCCAATAAGTGTCACGTAACAGCAATGGGACCAGGGACTCTATATGAACTGGACCCAGGGTGCTCGCCAAGAAGACCAATGTCGCCATCCTATGAATTATGATCCTTCCGGCTCTGAGATGGTTTTGTCAGACCGAAAGGGCATTAGCCAACAAAACAAACCACAACTGTTAGCTGGCTGCGTGGTGTAGTGGTTAGAGCACTAACATCGCGTTCGAATGACATGGGGTTCGAGTCCCATCGCCGGCCGACGCTTTTGGCGTGTTGTCCCAGTACCATGCCGACGTCGGCGACTGGGGGGCTCGAATCCCGCCGCCGGTTGATATTTTTGGCGCATTGTCCCAATAAACATGCCGACGTCGGCCCCGTCGGTCCAACGACAAACGATCTCGTCAACCTCGGCAAACGATCTCGGCCCGACGTCGGCTCGACGTCGGCTGGACTTCGGCTGGACGTCGGAACATGCGGGCATATCCGACGTCAAGCCGATGTCGGGCCGAGGTAGAACCGACGTTGGGCCGACGTCGGGCCGAGCCTCGGCCCGACGTCGGGCCGACGTCGGCATGTTTACTGGGCGTGGTTTTGAGTAGGGAAAATGGCGGGACGATGAACATGTTTTGTTATTTTTTGTAATGGCATCTTTCAGCTTGTCGGTGTCTGTTCTGTGTAGGTTTGTTTGTTTCTGAATAATGTCAAGTTTCCAAAAAGAAAAACATTGACAATGCCGGTAAGTTTTAGAGTTCAGGGAAAATCCAAGGCCATCGAGATTCAAGGGGCGTCGAATGGGGGCGTCAAAGTGCAGTGGATGTCAACTCTAAAAATTGCAGTGAAATAGCAGCTTCCAATGGCTCTAACAATTGCGCCATAGTTGTATTCAAGGCCCTAAATACAATGGGTCTGTTCCCGTCGCTCCTCCCAAAAAATCTCGGATGAGGTTGGATGGATGAGCTTGGAGGAGAGCCGTTCAGAGGGACAACACTATTCGACCGCCACCTTTGCAGCCATTCTATAACTCAGGAACTACTGAACTGATCGGAACGAACGAAACACCATTCGAATCAGGGGGTACGATTTTATCAGCCGTTTCGAAGCTCGTGACCCCAGGTGACCTCGGTGACCTCAAGAGGTCAACTCGGCATTGACGCCTATTGCAGCCATTCTATAACTCAGGAACTACTGGGCCGATCGCGACGAAAACACCACCAGTCGAATCAGCGTATGTGATTTCATCAGCCGTTTCGAATATGGTGACCTCAGGTGATCTCGGTGACCACAAAAGGTCACTTTACGTTTTCGCCTATTGCAGCCATTCTATAACTCAGGAACTACTGGGCCGATCGTGACGAAAACACCACCAGTCGATTCAGCGTATGCAATTTCATCAGCCGTTTCGAATATGGTGACCTCAGGTGACCTTGGTGACCTTGGGAGGTCACATGACCGTTGTGGCCTCCCAGTAAACATGCCGACGTCGGCCCGACGTCGGCCGACGTCGGGGTGACGTCGGCAACTCGGCATCAGCATGCCGACGTCGGCCCGACGTCGGTCCAACCTCGGCACGACGTCGGCTGGATGTCGTATATGCCCGCATGTTCCGACGTCCAGCCGAGGTCCAGCCGACGTCGGGCCGACGTCGGACCGAGATCAATTGCTGAGGTCCAGTCGACGTCGGACCGACGTCGGGGCGACGTCGGACCGACATCGGCCGCTGTTTTGACCGTTAAAATAATATTAGATACATGTTTCATGTTTCATAAAGAGCTTCTGTATTCAAAATATCCTCAGGAAACTCAAATGTTCCTCCACGCCGCAACCCCCTGATCCGGACTGGACGGGAAACTTTATCCCATTTGGGATTGCCCGTAAGCCGAGCTCGCCCGTAGCCGGGTGCGGTGAGTGCTTGGGGGCTGCTCGGCCTATCCTTTGGACAGGCTCAGCCCCGGCAACTCACCAGGGCCGGGCCCAGTTCATATAGAAAGGCCAGTCGGCAAGTGTCACTTTGCCAAAGTGCCACTTATCAAAGGGACACTTTGGGAAACGTTGGTGCAGGTGTGTAAGAGTGGCTATATGAACCCATTGTGGGGTCGCCCTTTTCAATAAGTGTCACGTAACAGCAATGGGACCAGGGACTATATGAACTGGAGTCTGGACCCAGGGTGCTCGCCAAGAAGACCAATGTCTCCATCCTATGATCTTTCCGGCTCTGAAATGGTCTTGTCAGACCGAAAGGGTATAACCCAACAAAACAAAGGTAATTCGTTAGCTGGCTGCGTGGTGTAGTGGTTAGCGCACTAACCTCGCGTTTGAATGACGGGGTTCGAATCCCATCGCCGGCTGATCATTTTGGCGTGTTGTCCCAGTAAACATGCCGACGTCGGCGACTGGGGGGCTCGAATCCCGCCGCCGGTTGATATTTTTGGCGCGTTGTCCCAATAAACATGCCGACGTCGGCCCCGTCGGTCCAACGACAAACGATCTCGTCAACCTCGGCAAACGATCTCGGCCCGACGTCGGCTCGACGTCGGCTGGACTTCGGCTGGACGTCGGAACATGCGGGCATATCCGACGTCCAGCCGATGTCGGGCCGAGGTTGAACCGACGTTGGGCCGACGTCGGGCCGAGCCTCGGCCCGACGTCGGGCCGACGTCGTCATGTTTACTGGGCTACGGCAGCCATTCTATAACTCAGGAACTACTGGGCCGATCGCGACGGAAACACCACCAGTCGAATCAGCGTATGTGATTTCATCAGCCGTTTCGAATATGGTGACCTCAGGTGACCTCGGTGACCTCAAAAGGTCAACTTAACGTTTTCGCCTATTGCAGCCATTCTATAACTCAGGAACTACTGGGCCGATCGTGACGAAAACACCACCAGTTGATTCAGCGTATGCGATTTCATCAGCCGTTTTGAATATGGTGACCTCAGGTGACCTCGGTGACCTTGGGAGGTCACATGACCAATGTGGCCTATAGCAGCCATTCTATAACTCAGGAACTACTGGGCCGATCGCGACGAAAACACCACCAGTCGATTCAGCGTATGCGATTTCATCAGCCGTTTCGAATATGGTGACCTCAGGTGACCTCAGTGACCTTGGGAGGTCACATGACCGTTGTGGCCTATGGCAGCCATTCTATAACTCAGGAACTACTGGGCCGATCGCGACGAAAACACCACCAGTCACATACGCTGATTCGACTGGTGGTGTTTTCGTAGCGATCGGCCCAGTAGTTCCTGAGTTATAGAATGGCTGCAATAGGCGAAAACGTTAAGTTGACCTTTTGAGGTCACCGAGGTCACCTGAGGTCACCATATTCGAAACGGCTGATGAAATCACATACGCTGATTCGACTGGTGGTGTTTCCGTCGCGATCGGCCCAGTAGTTCCTGAGTTATAGAATGGCTGCCATAGGCGAAAACGTTAAGTTGACCTTTTGAGGTCACCGAGGTCACCTGAGGTCACCATATTCGAAACGGCTGATGAAATCGCATACGCTGAATCGACTGGTGGTGTTTTCGTCACGATCGGCCCAGTAGTTCCTGAGTTATAGAATGGCTGCAATAGGCGAAAACGTAAAGTGACCTTTTGAGGTCACCGAGGTCACCTGAGGTCACCATATTCGAAACGGCTGATGAAATCACATACGCTGATTCGACTGGTGGTGTTTTCGTCGCGATCAGCCCAGTAGTTCCTGAGTTATAGAATGGCTGCCATAGGCCACAACGGTCATGTGACCTCCCAAGGTCACTGAGGTCACCTGAGGTCACCATATTCGAAACGGCTGATGAAATCGCATACGCTGAATCGACTGGTGGTGTTTTCGTCGCGATCGGCCCAGTAGTTCCTGAGTTATAGAATGGCTGCTATAGGCCACATTGGTCATGTGACCTCCCAAGGTCACCGAGGTCACCTGAGGTCACCATATTCGAAACGGCTGATGAAATCGCATACGCTTAATCGACTGATCGTGTTTTCGTCGCGATCGGCCCAGTAGTTCCTGAGTTATAGAATGGCTGCAATAGGCGAAAACGTTAAGTTGACCTTTTGAGGTCACCGAGGTCACCTGAGGTCACCTTATTCGAAACGGCTGATGAAATCACATACGCGGATTCGACTGGTGGTGTTTCCGTCGCGATCGGCCTAGTAGTTCCTGAGTTATAGAATGGCTGCCATAGGCCACAACGGTCATGTGACCTCCCAAGGTCACCGAGGTCACCTGAGGTCACCATATTCGAAACGGCTGATGAAATCGCATACGCTTAATCGACTGGTGGTGTTTTCGTCGCGATCGGCCCAGTAGTTCCTGAGTTATAGAATGGCTGCAATAGGCAAAAACGTTAAGTTGACCTTTTGAGGTCACCGAGGTCACCTGAGGTCACCATATTCGGAACGGCTGATGAAATCGCATACGCTGAATCGACTGGTGGTGTTTTCGTCACGATCGGCCCAGTAGTTCCTGAGTTATAGAATGGCTGCAATAGGCGAAAACGTAAAGTGACCTTTTGAGGTCACCGAGGTCACCTGAGGTCACCATATTCGAAACGGCTGATGAAATCACATACGCTGATTCGACTGGTGGTGTTTTCGTCGCGATCAGCCCAGTAGTTCCTGAGTTATAGAATGGCTGCAATAGGCGTCAATGCCGAGTTGACCTCTTGAGGTCACCGAGGTCACCTGGGGTCACGAGCTTCGAAACGGCTGATAAAATCGTACCCCCTGATTCGAATGGTGTTTCGTTCGTTCCGATCGGTCCAGTAGCTCCTGAGTTATAGAATGGCTGCAAGGGTGGCGGTCGAATAGTGTTGTCCTTTCAGAGGAGCCACGGGAACATTTTCGCGAGGAAATCAGCTGTTTGCGGGCTGTAACGGTCGGCGATTTATGGCGCGCAAACATAAATCAAGAGATAATAATCGCTTTCTAATAAAATAACCTAAGATTAATATCAAACATTACCAATTAAAGATATCCAATCGTCATCAATCACTAAAATCATTTCCACTTCCCTCACATCTCATTTATAAACAATTCACATTTGTATTTCGTGCGCCAAATATGTCTACGCAAGAGCCTCCTCCAAAAAACCAACTTTCGGTTGGGATGAGGGAGGAGGCAAATAGTGGTGGTGAGATGTGAAATCAAGATGAGCTTGGAGGAGCTTGGAGGAGCGACGGGAACGATTTTTTGAAACGAGAGGAGGTTAGAGGAGCTTGGAGGAGGTTAGAGGAGCGACGGGAACAAACCCAATACTTGTATTCTCTTGGTTGTATTATACACAGGGCCTTGTTATACACTGTGGTATTGTTAACTATAAGTTTTTGTCTGACCAAGTGCGTTTTTGCTGTTAATTACATTGAATTGGTGGAGTTTTCAAGGTAAGTGGAAGTATTTTTATTTACCGTTTTGTAGAAAAAGAACGGAAAAAGTGCAGTTTCATGTCAATTGCCAACCCAAAGTCAAGTGTTTGGGTTATTCATGGATTCAACATTGACATGAGCAACCTCGCTTCCTGTCTCCTTGTCATTTTTCTATGATGCCATTTATCTACTTGTCATTTGTCTTTTATTTTATCTGCTCGTTGGCTGTCGGATGTTGAAATAATGCAATAATGGTACCATCAATTTTAAGAATCAGAATACTTAACTCACCTGTTAAACTCACCTGCTAGGTTTCCACATAAATCCACAACCTTGGCTCTGGGCTCGTAAAGGAAGGAGTGGAAACCTATTGCCTTCAGACTTCAGAGATCTGCGAATTCCTTGGGTGGGCAGATTGCGGGACCTCAGGCAAGGAATTGGAATGGTGTGTCTGCATTTGGTAAAACACTGAAAAAATTTGTGCGTGTTTTAAGTGCCAGAATCCTAGACAAGATGTCCAAGATGATCAGCTATGTAAATGAGAAAAAGAGGGTACCGTAAAACGGGGTTTCAGTTTTGAGGTGTTTTATTATATAACTCAAGAAGGGTTAGGGATAGAAGCATCAACTTGTCAGCATTTTATGTGGAATTTCAGTTGGGCAAACTAGACTTTTGGAATCAAAATATGGAGGCATCAATAATTTGATTCTGGTGGGAGGAGCCATGACCAAATATGGGCATGGAATCAATTTTTTGATTCATTTGGGTACACTTTTGACTTCAAATGTATCGTTACGGTTGAAAAAAGGCCCATGACGGTGAGATTTTTCTTTAAAAAGGTAGAAAAATGTGGTAGGTTTGCAAAAAGTGTTACCTCAAAACTAACAAATTGTCCCTTTGGCCTTGTGAATGGGAAAAAGATAGAGGCACTGTCCATCACCTAAAAGCTGTTTTGAGGAAATCACACTGTTTGTTATTTTTGTATCATGAATTGCATACTAAACAATCAGTATTTGTGTAAAATGGCAAAATGAAATTTTCAAACCCCTAATTATCACTGTTGTAGTGCTTTTATATTTATTATATGGCTTTTACCTGTTGCTTCAGTTTTTGTATTCTTGACATTTAAAAATTGTGAATTGTTATCAAATGTTGTGAAGGTTATGTACAACAATGCTAAAGGTATCTGTTGTGGTGCTGAGGATCACACTTAATGAGAATAATAGCAAGATAAATGCTGTATTCTTGCAAGTCATTGTTACCTATCTCTTAACATTACCTGTGAATCAAAATAATGATTAGCCAGCTGATGGGGAATCAATATTATGATTATCTGTTTAAAGTGAATCAATTCCTTGATTGCCTTTCACTACCTATAGAATTCAAATTGCTATGATAGGAGCAATATTATTTTGCTTAGGAGATACTTTCAGCATTTCTGTTCAAGATCAGGCATGCTCCTTCTGGAAACACTCTCTTATTTTTATGTGTTTGGTAAGTTAGAAATGGTCTGCATTTATGCCCAAATATGGTCAAAAGGAATCAATCTTTTGATGCCTCCATATTTTGATTCCAAAGGTCTAGTTTGCCCAACTGATTTGGTGCTTTACATGCCTGCTACATAAAAGTTTTAAAAGTATATACATGAATATTATTTTTTAATATTTTTCATCACTGTCCCTCAGCACCACAATGTGGGGTGTTAAGGGACACCTATATTATTCCAAGAAATGGTCATCAAATGCCCATAATTGGGGTGTGAAAGGGCACACAATTTATTTATTGAAATGTTTTGCATATTCTGTCACAAAACAAGTCAGGTTCATTCACCACTAATGGCCTTTTTAGCCAATTACATGTAATGCAGTTTATGCTTCTGGAAAATGTGCTAATCATAGGGTAAACAGAACCAAAAAGTACCCTTCTGTCATCAACAAAAACCCATTTTGAAGCTAGTCACTCATTATGTCATTATGTTGCCCTCTTTGTTTTGGCCTTTTTATGATGACATCACATTTGCCTACATCAGTCTTCATTGACCCATCATTGAAAAAGAGAGTGTTATGGGAGTTTTGAGATGTTTTGTTATATACCTTGAGATGTGTTAGAGATGAAATCATGAACTTGCCAGCATTTATGTGGAATTTGGTGTTTTCCATGCCTACTGAAAGAAAACTTTATGAAATTATATTGTCTGGTTGATATAGCCTTGATCAGTAGACGTGCACATGTGCTTTATATGAAAAGGGCTTAATTTTTGCACAAATAGGCACCTAATTTTTGGCGCGAATAAGGCGGAAATTTTGGCGCAAAATCGCTTACATCGAATTTCGGCGCAAGAGGGTCTCACGGGCGTCCGGCGTAGTGTATGGATGTTTTCCAATCTGGTTTGAGGGCAGATATTGAAGCACTGTTGAATTAGATGACATATTTGGATTATGAAAAGTTTTCGGCTGAAGACGTGGTTTGGTGTGCTTCAGCTTTAGACATCCTCCGGTACCGATGGATTGTCGACTTGGAGACTGGATGACTGTTGACAACCAGCCTCCTTGCCACTTTCCTTGTGGATAAGCCCGTCGTTAGCTCCGCACTTCGCGATGACGATCTGCGCTACCCGGCTGGCGGAAGTCTTCCTGCCGCGACCTATCTTGTTCCCAGGCGTCTATCCGCTTCTGTCGCGTGATAGCCTGGACCAAATCGTGCGGCAACTCATGCCCAGTGCCTCGGTGACCTGGCCGTGGGTCATGCCGCCGGCAGCCATGCCGACTGCCCCGCTGCGGAACGATTTGCTCTGCAGTTTTGCCATCCTAGACACCTGGTCCGCGCGCGCCGGGTACTGCCCCGGAAATGACCTCCGCATACCCCTTGACCGGTCAGCGTCACAAAAATTCGAAGGTCACGTGACTAGAATGTAGCCAATATGGTCTGGGAGCCGGTACCAGCGAAATTATATTGATATTGCGCCGTAGAGGCAAAGTAAAGGTTGTGGGAGGGTGTGACATTAATTTTGGGACACCATGTATGTTCGTAGGTAAAAGGATGTACGCGATGCCAATGATTGGTGCAATCTCATTGTTACACTTAATATGTGTCATGTCACAATATCCTGTTACAGGGTCTTCTATGTGTTCCCTATGTCTTTGGTAGAAGTCGCCAGGGAGGCTGATTCAGATTGTCAGGACAAGGCAGAACAGGTTTATGGTAAGTTGCTGTGAATTATTTGAATTCATTGGATTCATGAGTGGCATTTTATTGGTATAATACAATGAAAGCTAGGGAGGGGTCTTATCCGCCCCTCTTTACCGTGTTCGCAAACACCTCATGAACGCTCGCGAACTGTTCACTGTATGTGGCCGATGACGTCATTTGTTCTCGAACGTACTTGTCCGTGAACAGTTTGTTTATTTTAGTTAATTTCAAAGATTAAACAGCAAACCCTGCTTCTTACCAATAATAGCTTAGTTAAAGTATTTCGTGCACTATTTGGACCACTTTTTGATTATTTAAGGGCTGCATCTGTGTGCAACTTAACCCTATTCCTGGCGGGGGGGGGGGGGGGCCTCAGGAGCCCCCCCCCCCTGAGGTTTTTTTTGTTATTTCTCCCAAACGCGTTGAGCTAGGAAGCTCAAATTTTCTGACTTTTCCTAAAAGGCTTCTACGCAACATGTCTGAAAATTTTGAGCTGATCTGACCTCAGGTCAGGTCACCAGAGGCGGTTTGGTGACCCTACCTCAGAAAAGTTTGCAATCACGCCAGAGCTAGAGTTTTTGACCGATCAATTTCTTCTCTTCAGGCTTTAGTTAGGGTACCAGTATGTGCAATTTGTATATCTCGGAATTTTGATATCGGTGACCTAAGGTCAGGTCAGTTTCGCGACCTCCCCATTATAAGTCAATGGGGGAAAAATCAACTCCCTTTTTTACCACTAAAACGGGTCGGGATGGCCCCATATACCATACATGACTTCATATACGATCAACCTTCACTACCTTGAGGTCTGTTTTGCTGTGGGCAGCTGTGAGGTCATGTGACGTCATCAAAGGTCACCAAAGGTTTTTGGCCAATAACTCCGTACAGGAACAAGATACAGACGCGTGGATGGTCTCATTGTGTTCAGCTCGTCAAGACGCATCGAATGATATACATGATGACCTCGAGGTCACGTGACCTGAGGTCAACCTTTGACCTTGACCTTGCGAGGTCAACATATATATCATTCGATGCGGACTGACGAGAGGATCACGATGATGCCCTTAGTTTGTTCCTATCTTGACTAATTCGAAAGTTATTCGAGAAAAACTCTCCATATCTAGCGCCGCCATTTTGACTTTTTCGACCCCTGTGACGTCATCTTTGACCTGACCTGAAAATGACCTTAGTAAAAATTGTAGATCTTGACCGTGCGTATCCGATGCCGTTTACCGTTTGTCGCTATCTTGCTTCGTTCTCGAGATCTCAGGGGGGGCCGAATCGGCCCCCCCCCCCCGCCAGTTTCTTGTCCCGGCGGAGCCCGCCAGGAATAGGGTTAAAATGTAATGCTATTAGTTTGTTTTTGAATCGCCTATGGCATCATTTTTGTAAAGCATTTTTAGCGTTTTACATATCTAACGCGATCAACTTTCCATTATAATTTAACTGCAGTAAAAATATTGCGACTATAAGTGATCATTATTTATCCATCTTTGTACTTTCGTCAAACACCTCCATGATACATCACCGTATGTGTGTGTCAGACCTGATCCGGTGCATTGAGGACCCCGAGAAGGCGTCCAGTCTGGAGGACCTGGGGGTGGTCAGCGAGGAGGACGTGTCGGTCAGCCGCTTCCCGGGCGTGGACGGCGCATACTACGTGCGCGTGCAGCTGACTCCGACCGTGCCCCAGTGCAGTCTGGCCACGTTGATCGGCCTCTGCGTCAGGGTCAGGCTGCAGGAGAACCTCGACTTCGAGCACAAGCTCGACATTGTTCTGAAGGAGGGAAGTCACCACACCAGTGACGAAGGTAAGTGGCGAGCCCGCGGGCCGCCGCCATCGCCTGCCGCCTGCTCCCGATGCTGGTTTCGTTTGTTGCTATGTAAATGCATGGGCGATTAATTGCACTATGGGGGTACCCCTTGGGTTTGGTCCTACGCTTACACACTCACCTGTTACCAGTGTTCTTTTATCTTGCGGCTTACATAAGTACCATTATTTGATTTATTGATTTAAGTTAATCTTTGGTAGAATATTTATTGGGGTATTGTTGCAAGAAAATATCGCGATCCTACAGCATTTCGCACGGTCTAGTTTTTGTTATGGTTTGAAGTTTGTTTTTCATTAACTTTTATTAAATTACACAGCAGTGCCGTTTTCCGTTTTCTACCACAATTTCTACTACACCAGCTCGATTTTTCTCATTAACAATTAAACGTTGCCTTTCATCATACCATCAGCACTACCAGCATGGATAAAGGCTGGGCTTTTGTGTGCGAGCCTCCTCCATGTACACTAGCCTCCTGTTCGACTGCCACTTCGTGCGGCTGTGGAGTGTGGGTGTCGCATGTTGGCTTTTCTCTGGCTGGTGCCTGACCACCAGTTGGGACGTGGTTTCTCTGGTAATGGACGTGGTGGCGTGCCATTTTTCCTTTATGAATGCTCGTATTGGCTGGCACCTTGTGGTGTTGTCGAGGTAGGGGCTGTTGGTACGGCTATCGGATGTCAGTTGCTTTAGGGACGCGGCGTTTACAAGAGTATGGCTGTGATTACACCTTACTGGCGATTTTGGAATAAACCTTATGATTTGAGCTTATTTTAATGCTTACATAATTCGGACATGATAGAAATTGTGATGAAACAAAATGATTTATGATAAAACAATTAACCTACGGTGTAAACGTTTATAAAACAAGCGTGAACATTTCGTGTTTCTATTAACCATGTCCATATCCCACGTTTCTGAGTTCATACCAAATAACTACGTTAAAAATCAAGTCCCGCTGACCGCTAGTCAGCGGAATCATCGGCCCATGAACTCAGGAACAGTCGATCGGGTCTGGTGAACTATTTAACCGTGAAATTCTAATAAATGCATGATAATTGATAGTATAGTTCAAGAATATAGTATTGCTTTCCTTCAAAGGTCAATGTCACAGTGGTACTCAGGAGGATGTAGCAGCTAAACAATCATACACTTCAACATTTATTATGTGATACCTAAGGCTAACCTCCGCCACTCTAACCATGCTAACCATTTACTATGCCGGCTTTGGGTGATGGACGTTAATTGGAGGGAGAGATGTTACAATATGTTCATTTGAGTTTTTCAGTCTTCTTGAATTATTATATCGTTCATTCAAGTTTTGAATTATTAATACCATAGGTTGAAAGTTGTTGATCCGCATAATAAATATTCGTGCGCTACAGAAGCTTTATTTGAGATATCTCACCCTTTACTCGTGCCAGCGGATATTTCACAGTGAGCTTTGAATACGCTCTCAAACTTGGGAATGCGGTATTATCCTGATTCTCAGCATTGCTAGTACCATCATTGTGTTACTTCCACAGTCAGCAAGCAGATAAATGACAAGGAGCGCGTCGCTGCGGCCATGGAGAACCCGAACCTGCTGAGCACCGTGCGCCGCTGTATCCGTGACCCTGAGTGACTCGCTCCAGCCTCCGGCGAAATGGCGCAGTCCTCCGCGCCCGACCCCGGCTTCCGCGGCTTCGTGGCCTGCGCGTGCACGGCGCTGGCGGCGGCGGCGCTGGTCTACCACGCCACGCGCCGGCTGCTGCGCCGCTCGGACGACACCGCGCACTTCCACGAGGTCGTGTTCTTCCCGGAGCTGCCGGTGCCGGCGGCGGCGTCGGGCTGCGAGCGGGACGCGCCGCCGCCGTCGGACGGCCGCCGGCTCGAGTGTGTGCTCCGCCGGCTGGCCGCCGCGCGCCGCTCCATCGACGTGTGCGTGTTCGTGCTGACCTGCCCGGACCTGGGCGGCGCGCTGCTGGCGGCCAGCCGGCGCGGTGTGCGCGTGCGCGTGGTGCTGGACCAGGAGATGTCGGCCTGCACGGGCAGCCAGCTGTCGGCGCTGCGGCGCTGCGGGGTGCCCGTGTTCGTCAAGCCGCCGCCGTTCCTCATGCACCACAAGTTCGCTGTGGTCGACGGCGAGGTCCTCATCTGCGGCTCCTTCAACTGGACCCGCCAGGCGGCTCTGGGCAACAACGAGGACGTCATCATTACCAACAACCCGGCGTTGGTGCGGCCCTACGTTGGCGAATTTAAGAAGTTGTGGGGGATGCGGCACTGACATTGACTGACAGCGGCCATCGTGGCTTGTCAGGCGAATTGGTGATACCTTGTGATTGTGAATTGCGCTAGACCTGTATGGACCTGTGGACCTGCAGGTAGCCCAGCTCACACCGCTCATTTAGCTGAGCACTAGAATCACGGAGCTGGCTGACGGTGCGGAAGTGTAGGAGTGTTTCTCACTTATGTCCAGACAGGCTCACTAGCAGTGAAGGCTCACGGTGTGAAAGGCGGAAACACTCGAGCAGCTGTATTTGTAATAGTATTTTAAGCAAACATACGCGGGTCAATAGCTTTTGTATCTTTCTTGTTTCCAATCGGACATCTTATAGTATATGTCATCAACAGTCACATTCATGATATCCTGAAATATTTCAATCGTCGTTTATTGGTCTTATTTATCTAGCATTATTCCAAAAGTAATGATTCTTCGATGACCATGCAGTGTTTGCCCAGTCACACACCATCTTGGGTCGTCTGTTTATTGACATGGGCATAATTGGGAGATGGTAGGCTGTGAACGTCTCCTTAGTTTGCTTGTTTTCGCCCCACCGTTCGTTAACTCCGCTAGTGGCACTTGAATGATGTCATGAATGATACCAGTTCTGTCCCGAAATCAAGTTGTCCATGATACCAAATGGACTTGAGCTGGTGGACTTGCCTGCGCCGGGTTTTGTTTACGAACATTAGCATTTGATTCGTGTAGGAGCTGTTTGTTGGTGTCTGTAACTGCTTCCACTTTGTGTGAAGATGTTCGCTCCATTGGGCTATTTTCGTGATGTGCCAATGATCTTTGGCCAAAGTTACCGATGTTTTAGTGCAGTTCAGTGAATGGCTTGAGCAAAATAAATGTACTCTTGTTCCATAATGCGGACTCTCATCTTTCACTTAAGCTCTGCCGTGACATTTTTTTATTATATGATACGACTTATGTGATTCAAGATTAAGGATGGAAAGTCAACTAAGTGCCCGATATTGAAGCAGATGTCTTCAACACTACTATACGCTCTATGACGCCTGGCTTTGAATGCACGACGCTTTTCAGAAACCATAGCCGGAAGAAATTCACACTAGATGAACTACACCTTTTTAGCCGCGATTTAAAACAGTTGAACTCCATTTTAAAAAAGCTGATCTGTGATTTAAAACTTTTGAACTTGGGTTTAAAACACATGACTTCCGTTTTAAAAGAATTGAATACGATTTTAAAACAACTAACGACGATTTTAAAATAGTTCAATTTATTTTTAAAAGAACTGAACTGCATTTTAAAGTGTACTACATATAGCATTATCTCATTCATTATTAATGCATTTTGTTGTCATGCAACCTTATCTAATACCTTGCCTTTTCTGTTGAAAGTGTAACTAATTTTTGTTTGCCGATGTGTTCTGATTATTGCTTTTTGCAATGTTTTTAAAGATAAAAAATCCGTTGTGATACTGGATTGTCAGGAGTGGCTGCGCCGAGCTCTCCGACAGTGCCATGGCATCAGCCCATGGACAGCGTCGCCGTGGTGTGTGACAACGCCCCGGCCCACAACGGCATCGAAACGGTGGCTTCTGACTTCTGAGGCCGAATTCGAGGGGCTTGAATTAATCCGAATGGCCCCCTACAGCGCGCCCCTGAACCCGATAGAAGAGTGTTGGTCGGCGTTCAAGGCGGCCATGAAACGGTCCATGGCCGTCACCTTCTGCGACATGCTGAACACGGGCGAGGCCGGTCCTGGAGGAGCACATCGACAGAGCCATAACAGCGATAACGCCGGTGTGCTGCCTCAACTGCTACAACCATGTCCAGAGGCACTACGCTGGCTGCATGGCTCTCTTGGACCTATCCATGGGTGTATAAGCTATGCTGTGTACCAGCTGCATGTAGCATGCCCGAAGATATGCAAAGATAGATGCGTCACAAAAGCATGACGATTTTCTATGCAAAGTTACATGTGTACATTATTTCGAATAATTTCGATGTTAGCTAACGACTGTTAAGCAGTGAAACCACTGACAATGTTATCTGAATAGCCTTGCAATAAATGCAGTGGGATTTTTTATCTTTAAAAACATTGCAAAAAGCAATAATCAGAACACATCGGCAAACAAAAATGCAAAAAATAGCCCTACATTTTCAACAGAAAAGGCAAGGTATTAGATAAGATGCATTAATAATGAATGAGATAATGCTCTATTTAGTACACTTTAAAATGCAGCTCAGTTCTTTTAAAAATAAATTCAACTGTTTTAAAATCGTCGTCAGTTGTTTTAAAATCGTATTCAATTCTTTTAAAACGGAAGTCATATGTTTTAAACCCAAGTTCAACAGTTTTAAATCACAGATCAGCTTTTTTAAAATGGAGTTCAACTGTTTTAAATCGCGGCTAAAAAGGTGTATATCAGCTTATAAGAAACTTCTTGAGGCAGTGTGTTACTCGTTTCGTGTAGCTGCTTAGACATATTCTGATGGCTTCCAATGATTCGTCTGATCCTTTGCTCGCTTTGCAAACTGTGCAGGAGATGTAGGCTAAGAGAACTGAGAAGAAACTTTATGGTGGAGAGGCAGGCCATCCAAGAAATCAGAGGTGGTTGATATGCTTTTTCCTGCCGTTAAAACGTGTCCTTGTGCAGGGTGCCTGGCGCTGAAAAGGGTGCATATCTCCGTATTCCATCTCTTTATTATACCACTCCTCCCATTTGTGCTTTATTTTATGCCGTGCAGTATAGCACCTGATGACCAGAGGCATTGCTACTGCCATATCATATTCTGGGCAAGCTTATGTCGCCCTCAGGCCTCAGCATACGAGTATAAATAGTCTTTGTCACCTTTGACATTCACTGGAATGGCAGCAGCGCTTCTTGGAGAATGGCATGCTTCACATGCTTTGACTTTTGATGCCTCTCGACGACTTCATGCAGGGCTTACGACCAGGCCGCGGAGATTTAGCTCGTCTATCAGCCCAGGTAGTAGGCCCAGTAGGCGATGTTGAAGATGGCAAAGGCCACCACGGAGGCCAGTCGGGAGAACCGCTCCAGACGATCGGCCTTCTCGGCGCCCGTCATCGTCCAGTTGCCCTTCAGGGGCGTCACCTGCGTTACCAGGGGAATGCTTGTGAATAACATATCGCTATCAGTCCTCGTATCGTGATGCTTCGTGCATAAGTCGTGCCTGCCTCTGTTGTCATTCTCGGGGAATTGGGGAGTGAGCAGTACTAGGTCAATATTACCATCTGCCCATACCTACTGTTGCTTTTGGTGAAACACAAAAATAAAAAAGTGAAAATTGATTGCTTTTTTATTTTAACACTGCTTCAGACGCAGTAGACAGGTTGCAAGCCTATCCATTGTTAAAAAAAAACAGTGCGAGAGAGCAGAAGGCTGCGAGAAATTGAACAGCTTCCTCGATTCGGTGGCTCTTTTGGGTCCTACTTACCTTTGATTGCCCTTTTGCATCAACAACCGTGGTTCCTTTCTTTTGAGATAGTCTGTAAAGTTAAATATGTCAGCTCCTAAACACAGTTTGGTTGCGGAAAATGTATGTTTTGCGATTGAGATAACAATGGCTATTGCTTCAAATGACTGATCCCATTCATTCATTTGACCAACGTGTTTGTCGTCGAAGATTGACAGAGCAAAGTTATTCTTATCCGGTGGCTTAACATGGTGCGTGCCTTTTAAGTTTTAGGTCTATCTGATACTCGAAAATCCTGTCCCAAGCTCGCCTTCTGACTGTTAAATCACCATATCAGCAAGCTTTGATGAAATTTAAAAATGTAATAAAACGTGTGTCCCGGCTACCTGGCTGAACAGAATGGAAACGGCACAGAAAGGAGCGCGATAAAACTGTTGTTTCCCATCTGGTGTTTGGATGGCTTCTGAGAGCTGAATCAGTACCCTGTAGGTTTTGACATCAGCATCGGTTTTCGCATACCTGAGGACGACTATGTACTCCAGGATTGTCCCGAAGACGAAGACGATACATGCTAGTGTCCAGACGTCTATCGCCTTGACGTAACTGACCTCAGGCATTCCTTGGCTGAAAGGGCAAAATGTTTAATTTTTAATACACCTAAGAAGAAGCAATAAGCATCGATATATTATAACAAACCTCAATCTCAATGTGTCAGTGAATGATGCATGGCAGTTCCATTAGAATAATGCACTGGAGCTTTGAAGTAAATGTGTCATTCGCAGTCATTTAGCTAATTGCGAGAATAACGGATCTGCACTGTGTGATAAACGGTTATTTTATTTACAAGTCGCGTACTCACACATTGGCGCTGAAGAGTGCGGTGAGTGTCAGGAGAGTGGTGATGACCAGCACCATCCGACCGGGCACCATTTCGGGAGGAACCTGAAATAATGGGTCAGCGTCAGGGGAGTGGTGATTACGAGCACCATCCGTCCGGGCATCATTTCGGCTGGAACCCGCAACACAGTGTAAGAGACAGGTCCTAAAGTCCTGGTGGTCATTGTTTTAGCACTTTCAGTACCCAAACCCTGCACCATTTATTAGTTATTACACAATACTGTTAAAGTGCTAGCACATAAATGCCATTGAAAGATTGACTGGTGTCGGGATACCAACAGTTGAACTTGTCAAGGATGCATTTCTTTCATCGATGACAAATTAAAACCAAGTCATAAACTACTCCGCGCATGTTCTGCTGAAACAACAGGTATGCCTGTTCAGTCTTCACGGCAGCTAGTCCATTACGGCCACCAGCAGCTCGTCCATTACGGCCACCAGCAGCTCGTCCATTACGGCCACCACCAGCTCGTCCATTACGGCCACCAGCAGCTCGTCCATTACGGCCACCAGCAGCTCGTCCATTACGGCCACCAGCAGCTAGTCCATTACGGCCACCAGCAGCTAGTCCATTACGGCCACCAGCAGCTCGTCCATTACGGCCACCAGCAGCTCGTCCATTACGGCCACCAGCAGCTCGTCCATTACGGCCACCAGCAGTCAGGGGCGGATCCAGAAAATCTCCAAGGGAGGGGCCATTAGAATCCAGGAGGCCCCCCCCCCATAATCCCACCTGTTAGAGGCCCCATCTTCCCACTTGTTGGGCCCCCCCAAAAAAACTGCGTCTATTGAGCTTATCTAGCTGTTCAGGCAACATCTCAACATCTGTGCAGGCTTGGAGGCCCTCTGTGCAGGTTAGGAGGCCCTGTAAAAGTGGCCATCTCTGTGAGTATAAGAGACCTCCAAGTTATGAAAAGCTTTACCAATCTTCTAACAAAGAAGTCTTCTCAGCTAGTCTTCTAAGAAATAACTAAGTGGGTAGGTTAAAAAAAACTCATCGGATTTCGGCCACTTTATTTTCAGGAGGCCCCCTTTTCAGCTTTTTAACTTTTTAACTTTTTATTTTATTTTTGAAAAAAATCGGTCAAGGGGGGGCCATGGCCCCCATGGCCCCCCCTTGTATCCGCGCCTGCCAGCAGCTAGTCCATTACGGCCACCAGCAGCTCGTCCATTACGGCCACCAGCAGCTAGTCCATTACTGCCACCAGCAGCTAGTCCATTACGGCCACCAGCAGCTCGTCCATTACGGTCAAGGGTCAATAGGCCTGCTTTGAGCCATGACGACCCTTTGTAGCTTGAGCTTACCAGTGAAAACATGAATAGCTCAAAGTGTCTGGATGATCAATGTCATGATATTGGGGCTGGAGACCGCTGAATGCTAAAAAAAAAGCACACACACACACTTGTCTTTGCCTTATGTCACCATTACCTATACCTACTTTTTTTCTGAAACGGTGCGCTAACAATGGGGAATGACTCGTTTATTTTGGATCAGCCCGATGTTAACAACCCTTATAAACTATACATTCAATGGTCATATATCCCTCATGCTTATGTCCCAGCGGCCAGCACCGTGATCATCAATGCTCATGGCTCTGATTATGATGCACAATTACATGCGTAAATACATGCCCTGGGGCAGGCCTTCGACGCTATGCGTACCCATAGTGAGAGCCAGTGAACAATATAGGGGAGAGTGGGGTAAGATGCTCAGGGTGGGAAAGACGCCCCACCCCCTCTAGCGGCGAAACAAAGAATCGAACCTGGAAATTAATGGTCTTAGCGTAAAGCGGAAGCCTGCCTTGTTAACTGCACAAAAATTTGCGAAGCTCAGTTGGGCAACGGCTGGCTGATGATTGAATGTTTTTTATTTGCTGCTTTCAAAAAATATTTAGGTGTCAAAACATTGTAAATATCAAAGAAGGTAGAATATTTTTGCGTCCCTTGCTATAGTCGTGATACATTAGCATGCGTGTACTGTGTCCCAAGCAGTTTGTTTCAGGGTGTTGTTTTATGGCTAACAAATTGTACTGATTTAATGTTACTTCGGTACCTTGGGGTAAGATGCCCCCTGTCCTGATGGGGAAAGACGCCCCCCTAAAACCGTAGGCTGGCCTTCAAGGAACCCGTCAAATCATTTATTACATAATTGTAATGTAGACAGAAGCCGATCTGGGACTATTGAGAGTCCAGTACGGTGGGTGCTCCCCATGCCGGTCTCTCGGCCCACACAGCGACTTTTTGGGCGGCATCTGACCCTGAGAGCCCTCACGACGGCCTCTGTGGGCCCCATTATTGGCTCCAGGGCCCCTCACGACATCCTTTGAGGGCTCCCTCCACGGGCCGCGCTGGCATCTGAGGTCCCCACGATTGGCTCGAGGGCCCTCAAGTATCATGAAGACCTATAAGAGCCCCACAGTGGTCTCCGAACGCCACCACGGAGGCTTGTTTGGCCGCGCTGGACTATAATGGCCCTAACGATGACCTCTGAAGCCCCTTACGACTACTTTTGAGGGCCCTTATGATGACGTTTGGTGTCTTCTGCAGGCTCGAAGGGACTACTGATTCGTTCAGGCGATTCACGTGCCCATTTATGTCACTTATAGTGCAGGGGGCATCTTACCCAACGCCAGGGGGCGTCTTTCCCACCCTGTGGGGTAAGATGCCCCCTTTCACTTCTTCAGGAAAATGCTTAATAGCAAAAAAAAAGTTATCATATTACAGGCACGAAAGTGTGATATTTTTGGAGAAAAATGATGTCGGCTTCCGTTGAAACTCCAAGTTTTTGCTTTCCCATCGTCATTTTCGAATAATATATGACATAGCTAAACCCTGGGCATTTTCCCCACTCTCCCCTACGTACCCATAGTGAGAGCCAGTGAACAATATGCGTACCCATAGTGAGAGTCAATGGACAATATACGTAGGTACCCAGAGTGAGAGCCAGCTGACACTAAATATATATTATACATACCCATAGCGAGAGCCAGCTGACCATCACCACCAACAGACTGGGCACATACACGGCCAGGATGGAGAAGCGCAGCTTGCGCTTGAAACGCATCTCGAAGTTGAGCTCCGCATACGAATCTGGGGACGAATAACAGTGTGGTTGTCGTTGAAGTAGATTAATATCAGGCTTTTTAATATCAGACGCTCGCGTCTCAGGTTTTTTCACAAGGTAGACTTTCGATATTACTCATAAGATACTTTTGACATTCGGACCCCCTGGATCGCTGATGTGCAGGCTGCAGCGTTGGTGGACTGGCCGTCGTCTGTTAAGCGATACCTATAGCTACACATTCAGCTGTTGTATAGCTAAACATTCAGCTCAGCTAAAACTATGGGCGTGTTAGAGCTCAAGTACAACTGTCTCAGAGTGACACGCTGCCGGGATCCACGTGGCCGTCACGTGCGCCGGGACTGTGTACTGGCTGCTATGGGAATGTGCATTGTACTCGGTACAGGTGGAATAATGGGTCCCCCGATTCCTTAGGGCTAGCTGCTGAGCATCATTAACGTTTGTGCTTTTTCTGTTTCTGGCGGGTGCAGTATTTCCCCTATAAGCGTGTTCGTCCATTGAGTCGTTTCTCAGAAGCGGTATGGAGCGGACCTTACGGGCAGGTCTGCCTAGGTTCGTGGTGGCTTTGTGTATTTGACGTCTGAGAGCCACCTGACAACACCAGGATTCACCTGAATTCCGAATAAATGTTGCGTACCAGAATTGTGAATTGAAGATATCGTGAAATTTCGAATTTGCGATGGTTGTAGCATAGACCACTATATACCGGATTCTATATACCACTATATACCGGTATATAGTGGCCTATGGTTGTAGTTTTTCAATTGATGTTATTCACTTATACGTCATTAGAATGCTGGTGTGTCTATATCGGTTGGAACCATCACGTTTTTTTTTTAGGCATTGACAAAAAACTCCATCTACCGAATACCATAAAGTTAACGGTTTTATCAGTAACTTCGCAGTCACAGCCAGGGGTGTAATTTTATATCTCTTTGTGGGGGCAGATGCACCCACAATCCTGAAATATGCCCCACAATGATGAAAATGCACCCACAAGTCTTATGTCACAAGCGCCCTTTCGAGAGCACGGCGCCCTTCGCATGCTCTAACGGCGTCCTCCTGACCGCCTCGCGTTCCTGGCTAATATAGCGTTTTTAATCACTCGGCGCCCTTCTGGGAGAATGGCGCCCTTTTGACAGCACTGCGCCCTTCTCATGGTCTAACGGCGCCCTCCTGACCGTCTCGCGCCCTAAATGTCTCTGTCCACCGTGCATATCTCGACTGTTCGGCGCCCTTCTGGCCTCTCAGCGCCCCTGGACCACATAGCGTTTTCAATCAGTTTTGTCAGGTGTGCATAGGCGATTTAGATTACAACCACAGTCCACAGGCCATGTTTGCTTCCAGTCTTCTGTAAACATTGTTAGCATTTGCTGTCTGTTTTCGTGTTCGGTAGAACGACTGTACCCTCGTACTCTCATTACCAAAGTGCCATAATGTGGTGCGCTAATGTGACCCAACGATTTAAGTCTGCTTCTGTTTAGTTACGGCGTGCTTGTGAATGTCTATATACACTGGACAATGGACATGCTGGTAGGAACGTAACCGTTTGCTTTTATAGTCGTTATCCACACAATTTGGCGCATGTGACGTGTGTCGTGTGACAACGTGCCGTGTGTTTCTTTGATCAGCCAATTATAATGTTAGTCACTCGTCGATGTGGGACATGGAGACAATGTTATGCGCAATTGCTTTACCTTTACGACTGAAGGCATGTTCTGTATCAAATATGTCAGTCAGCTTTATCGATTCGATTGTTCTAAACAAAAGAAAACACTAAAGAGCTAGTTGAATCTCTCATTTTTTCCTTCCGGGAGGCTCCATGAATGCTGCTTTACCATACCTGCATGCTACCTTGAGTGATTCCCCGAATTTGACTTGATGTTTGATGTTATGAGTAAGCGACATCGCAACATAAATAGAAAAATAGCCACAGATACGTATATGGGCGTTACCTTTGCAGTCTGCATGCTGGTGAAATGTGACAGCAATAACATATGCCCTGAATACCACCTTATCAGTCTGCCAATGGGGTTTATCAGGTGACCGTTGCTGGTTTTCACAGAGAGACAATAAAGTTGGCATTTGAATGCCGTGTGATTGGCAGGCAGGCAGAGACGAATACAGCATGCATGACTGATCAATGACCCGTGTGAACGGGCTCTCTGCTCGCGAGGGAAGTTGCCCGACTACCGCTGTCTACTCGAATGATTAGTGAGGGCTGTGTTTTCCCTTTTAAGATCGTGTATCCATGCCTGTTGGAATGGGTTGTGCTGTGGCTTCTCCTGTGTTCAGACGACGCAATGATCGCTGGAAACACCGATGATGGTATTACTGCTTACCAATTAGAATGTGTATGGTGACTGGCGGCAGCATGCGAATCTCCTCCAGGTAGAAGCTGCTCATGACGATATCCTCGTGAGTGATGCCCTTCGTGTGCCACTCCAGCAGCAGCGTCTCCACGCTGTAGATATCTTCAGCGGGGAATTGGGGCGAGCGGTCAATAATCACCAAGGGTCCCACGCAGGGGCGGCGGATTCGGGGGGGCAGGGGGGGCAGCTGCCCCCCCTGGCAAACTCGTGGGGGGGCAAAAGTATCTTTTTGCTCCCCCATAATTTGTGACAAAGCTTAGACAAGAAACCATATACCTGATTATTCCGTTCGATCATCTGAAGATATAACCAGATGCCCATATACTTTATCATACGTTGCCTTTCTTAAATGGCAAGCGTTTACGTTCAATTGAAGTTTTCCTCTCTTCAACCTAGTTTTGGAGGCATTATAAGCGTCAACGTGACGCAGCGGCAACCCAGGCCTTCAGTGACCGTTTACAGGGGCGACGGATACGGGGTGGCAGAGGAGGCATCGTTCCCTAAGAAACTTTTGGAGGAGGGGCAAAGTATATTCTTGCCCCTCCATAATTTGTGCCCTAAACATGAGGAAAATTTCCATAATCTGATATTGCAGCTAATAGCTAGGCGCTCCTACAGTTTGTCCAACGGTGCCTTTTGAATATGTGTAAATGCTAACCATTTCCGCTTTATATCTTTTTTTTTTGTCTTTTCAGATTCTATTTATAGATGTGTGCAAGAGACGCAACTCATACCTTCAGTGGTCATTTGCCTCTATTTTGTACCTACATAAATGCCAAATCGCAAGCGAGCGGAGACGGAAGGGCTAGCCATTCGCTTGCGGGTAGCTAGGACTGATGAGCGCTCATAATAAGCCACTCCCCTGATTTTTCCGAGCGCAACAGTTTCCAGCGCATAAAATGGTAAAGGCCGAGGTCGTACACATTGACGACATTGACCAATGCACGGTATGGTATGACACCCAAAGGCCAGTCATCAGAGATCTGCTTTGGGCATTCGGAGGCTTGTGTGGGGCCAGTGTAAAAACTAAATGTTCACAGTTCAGCATCCGCTTTATTTCAGTTTTCACTATTAAAAAAAGTAAAAATTTATGTTGGAAACTTTTGAGGGTTAGGGCACTGATCATTAGTGCCAGTGCCCCCCCCCCTCTTTCTAAAGGCTGACTATAGAATAAAGAGCATCAAACACGAACAGTAGCAGCGAAACACTTTCAATTAAGGGGAGGGGGGGACACTGCCGACTTTTGGTCCCATTCTTTCCATGCAACGCCCATAGGGCCAACGTTAAAATGCCAAAATCAAAGGGGGCACGGTGCCCCGGTGCCCTCCCCGTTCCGCCGCCTATGAACAAGAAAGCAAAATCTGAGGCATTTTGGAAAAATGAGTATGCCCCACAGCGTCCGATAACTACCACCTTCCAGTGGGTCAAGCCAACGGGGACCAAGTCTATAATGGCACTTAACGATAGCACTAACCTTCTCTCACTTTTTGTTGAAGTCTATGGTTTCGGCCACATGGACTGGCTGCACTGAGGTCGTTTGGTATGTGCAACTGTAATTAAAGCCACCTGAGGCACCCTGACACCAGGCTGAAGCTGGGTTGGAAATGCTTCGTCTTTGCAGATATCACTGGCCGCTGATTCTCGAGTGCCTGAACCGGTAGATGTGGCAAAATTTGGTGTGATAATTTGGCCCTTACCGCAGTCAGCGCACCCTAAAGCCCTAATAAAGAAACGCCCTACCAAGAGTTTCTGGCAGCTCCGTTCCATCGCTTCCATCCTCAGGACACATAAATCCTTCTCCTCCACGCCGCAACCCCCACTCCGGGCTGGACAGGCACCTTTACCTCATGTGGGCTGCTCCCTTGGAGCGGCACCGCTGCTCCCGACGGAGCGCACCCCGTAGCCGGGTGCAGAGAGTGCTTGGGGGGCTGATCGGCCTGTCCTTTCGCAGCCCCGGCGACTCTCTAGGGTGTCTGCCCAGACCAATGTCTCCCCCTAATTCCTATCATCCTTCCGGCCCTGAAATGGTCTCGTCAGACCGAAAGGGCCTAACCCAACAAAACAAAACAAAAACAAAAAAGAGCTTCTGGATTCTCGTTCCAGTCCACCGTTCCTTCACCCCAGCCCACCGCCGCGCTCCCTCACCTCAGCCCTTCGTTCCCAGCTTGACGAGCGTTTGGGCCTTAGTTAGGCCTTGCTGTAGACTAACTGTATAAACCCATCGAGACAGCCCTTCTAGGTGAGCTTAGTTGGCGAACCACTGCCTTGGGGAGTGTTTCTGGCGGATCGCTGTCCCAATAGGTTTAAATGCGACCGACTGTCTCTGAATGTTTGAGCGGTCTCCTCCCGCTGTGAACTAGTTTCAGTTGATATCTATCTCAGAAATACTTTTTAAAGGAAGGTTAAACGGAAATCGAACGTAAAATGAACAGAGGAAATGGTAACGAGTTACCTCATTGAAGAATAGCGCTCGCCTACTTCAAAAGGTTTGGAATCGTTCTTCAACATCTAATATGCGATCGGGTTATGGCATAATTTTTCCCATTAGCGATTTTTTTCTAATACAGCAATACGAAAAGCGTTACATCGTCCACTGGCGGATCCAGGGAGCGGGCATTTAAAGCAAATATTTATTCTCCCTCCCCTGGCCCCTGCATCGCCCGAAATAGACAAACGTACCTTATGTTTCCTAATAAAACACTTTTTTATCAGCATTTTTTTTTTGCTTTATACTGTTCAGCAGTAGATCCGTAAGGAATCGAAATCCGATGAGTTTTTGGATTTTGGACACTTTTTTTTTGGGGGGGGGAGGTATGTCCCCTACAGCGTCGAAAACGCCTTTCTGGATCCGCATATGACATCATCTCGACTGGGATCTTGCCCCCCCCCACGCCAAAATCGAATCCGCCGCCACTGGACTCCCACGCTGGCGTCCCACCGAGCTCTACAGCTCGCCCGGCCATCCCGCTCACCAGGCTCGCCACGTGATGCAGCACATTGCACAAAGCTAGTTAACTCCGTTGTGCGCAAATAAAAAACACTGGATACGTGCTCAATACATTATAGAAAGCAGTCACTCATGTAGACCTGCACTCAAACTAAAGTTGTGCCAAGTATCTCACTTGGTTTTCCGTATACCTTCGTTTGCGCTGACCAAGTTTGGATTAATTAAACTTAAACCTTATTTTGTGGTATGACAGTTTGACGTTTGTGAAAAGCGATAATGTGAACACATATATTGCACAAACCGGTTTCGATATTACTTCATTAGTGTGCAAATGTATAAATAAAACAGGTTATGAAGGAGTGAGTGGGGCCCACCTATTTCGTCTCCGTTTTGTATTTTGTGTGTTTTATTTATATATTTGCACGCTGATGAAGTAATATCGAAACCGGTTTGTGCAATATATGTGTTCACATTATCGCTTTTCATAAACCTTATTTTGTTGTGCATTTTGAAAGTAAGAATTGCATTATTGCCTGTGTAGTTCAGACATGAGTCAGCATTGGTAAACAATATGAAAAAATCACCTTTTTTAACTTACAGCTTTGTATCTTCACCCGGCAGGTCTGCCTATCCATCGGGTAGTTGAAGTAGACCATGTTGCACTTGACCGTTATGAGGTACAGGCTCGTCTGAAGCGGGGTCAACGGGGCCGGTGTGACGTTTTCGTATATCCCTAGAAGTCGTGACAATCAACATGACATTTATCATACCAATGGTTATATAACAGTGTTCGCCACGGGCCGCAAAATCCCATCCAACCCGGCCCAGGCCCTGGGTTCACAACCCGGCTCAGCCCGAGTGGTAAAAGTGTCAACACCCAGCCCGGCCCGTCAAAACAAATGGATTGACAAGTGCTGACACCACACAGATATTATGTCATCCAAAGGTAGCAAAGAAACAATCTTTGGGAGCAGCATGCACTTGCACAATGCACTTGTATGCTTCATCGTTTTTTAGTCTTGCACAGAAATAAGCTATATACATAGCTGTGTTTTTGTCTCAGTCGCGAACCTCGAGTCTATTTTAAAGTTATTGGCCCAGCCCGTCCTCAGCCCACCGATCCTTCATAACCTGTCATGGATTACTCGTAAATGAAGATTGGAAAGCGAAAACATTAAATTAAGTACATGTTTTTAGTTGTTCGTGATGAGATCTTTCGATTGGCATTTGAATTCTCCAAATCGGACCATTAGTTCGGGAGATAACAGGGGGGGGGGGGTAAATTTACCCACCCCCAGCCCCGCGCGTTCGGCCGGAGACCCCAGCCCCACGCGGGTTAAGGTCCTAGGTCATCGGGTGACCTTCCAGGTCAGGTCAATGACCCGAAAATCGGGAAAATCGGGACCTGTTAGAAAGTCGTAAAGTGTGGCTGCTATGGGGTTTTCCGGGGTGCTGATCACGAAATGCCTTCGTGCCTTATGCCTTCGTAACATGTTACGAAGGCACCAAAACTACTTCGTAAATGCTCAAATGGTTGCTAAATTCGAAATCAGCTCCAAAAGCTAGCCTAGAAACATGTAAAACTCGAAAAAGTGAACCGAAGTCACCAAAGGTCAATGACCTGACCTGACATTCAGGTGACCTTGACATCCACCAGAATGCATGGGAGCCACATCAGATCACATGTTTGAACGTTTGAAACCACGAAAAGCTTGCAAACGCGCGGCTAATGCGAGCCGACATACGCCGAATTGCGATTCCGGCCAAACATGGTCTCAGAAAGTAGGTCACAGGTCAAAGGTCATTTGGGTCAGGGTCATGAAATTTTCAGGGTAGGTGTAATTTTTTTTCGTGATTTGTAAAGTAACAAAATATATTTACACGTAAGATCCATTACAATATTGCATCGCAGGATTTTTTTCCACAAGCGCGATTTACGCGCACGCACACGCACACAAGGACACATACACCCATACACACGGAGGAGGTCGGGGCCGTTCCGCAGCCGGTGCCGCTCCCTGACGCGGCGGTCACAGCGCCCCGCCGGCTTCCTCCACAGTGACCACTTGGTCGCAAAGGTCTTTGTGCAGGTAGAAGAAGATGTAGCCGTTCCTCTGGTGTCCGGCCTCGCCCAGAACGTCGGCCTCGTCCACACAGCTGACGCGCCGATCGTCGTAGTGGAACCACCTGTCCCTGCCGACGCTGTACTCATCCGACACGTAGTGCCCAGAGTGCGTGGCGCTGCCGTAGTGGCTGACGACGCCCACCAGCCGGTAGGTAAAGTCGCCGGCCAGGTCCACTGAGCGGGGAGACTGGCCGTCTTCCACGCAGAGCTCCGATAGGTGTGCCTGCTCCGAGGCGTCGGCCGGCGCTCCCTCCAGCGACCTCATGATGGCTTCCTGGAGCTCGCGGTCTTTGCTCTCGCAGGTCCGCGCCGGTTTGAACTTGGAGTCGGCGTCCAGCACCACCAGCTCGGCCTGCGCTGGCGGCGGCTGCGGCGGCTCGGCACCGGTCGCCGGTGACGGGGGACGCACCGGTGCCGCGGCTCCGGCCGACACCGGCGAGTCGGCGGCGGCGGACTCCGGCAAGCCGGCGGTGGCCGGCACTGGTGACAGTCCACGGGCGGCGGGCGGCGGCGACGGACTCGAGCTGGGCGCCTCAGACTCTTTGAAGTCGGATAGGATGCACAGGGCAGGCTTTGTGCACTTCCACTCTGGGGGACGGGTGACGTCGTCCGCGACATGTTCGTTCAGCGAAAGGAGCTTGGGAATGCCGACGTTGGAGCAGATTTTCTTCGATTCCTCCCCAAGGAAGACGTACCGGTTAAGCTGGACTATCAGCGTCCTGGGCAGCTGGCTGATTTTGGTGGTGACGCGGCACTCGTCATGGCGGCAGTGCTGACAGAGCAGCTCGCGCCGGTCAGGCCGCATGCACAGCCGCAGCGCGTCCTGCAGCGTGGGCGTCTCTGTGCCCTGGCGGCGCGGCACGCTGACAAACCAGCATATGTTCTCTTGCTGTTTCAGCACCGTTTCATGGCACTTGGTGCACATGTAGCTCTCGACGGTCTGATACTGAAAGTTGTCTCGCACAAGGTTATCGGTCGGCCGCCGCGCGCCAATTTCTTCCTTCATGGTGTCTAGCAGGCGCAGCAAGAACTCGTTGGCGTCCTGCATCTCGATGCCTCGGAACGCCGGATCGATGTCGGCGAACACGTCGCGAAGGTCGTTAAGATGGCTGGAGACTGATCTGCTGAGCCCCTTCTGACGGAGCACCATCAACTCCGCGACACCATGCAGTGTGCGGCAGAGGCTGTTCTCCCCTGGGCTCAGGTCGGAAATCAGCGACAGCATGTCGCTCAGGAACGGAGTCAGGCCCAGCAGAGATTGAAGCGTGGCGTTTTGATAGCACGAGTTGCCGTAGTTCGGCAGACCAATGCAGAGCGGGTCGCTGGCGCTCGTGTCCGACTCAAGCCGCTGGGTAGCCGTGATCAGCTGCGAGCCGGTGCTTTCCGTCTGCGTCCTCCTGCAGGGTGACTGTGGCGTCTGGCTGCTCTCGCCAGGGCCGTCGGTTGGCGGCATTCTGTCAGACGGCTGTAGCGCCTGCCCACACTCGCCAGCGCTGTCAGTCTGCGGCTTCCTGCCCTGCGGCAGCACCTGATTGCCCTCATCGAACTTGCCAGGCAGCAGTGGCGGACACGCATGCTGGGTGATCTTGGAAGAAGAGCTACCGGCTTCGCTAGACTCCTCTTCACCTCCACGAAACGCGATGCTCATCTGCCGAGACGAAGATGTATCGCTCTCGCGCGCCGGTCGAAGTACAGAGCGCCGCCGTGACAGAGATCGAACCGCAGGCCCTGGCACGAGCGGACCGCCATTCTGCGCCGTTACGACTCCGATAGCTGCACTAGACTTGTTCTTCTCCGCTTCTTTGCCTGCCATGTCTATTGGTGTCTTCGGCGAGGAATCGGAAAATGCATTTGACGAGCGACACCTACGGGGTCGTGCGGCAAAAACTTTCTCTGTCCGCGGGCGCCACTGCAGCGACACCTGCCGTGTGGCTCCAACACTATTGGCTCAGTCTGTGCGCCCACGCCGTGCCGCGAACACTGATCCTACACATTGTTCAGCGTTCCGATTGTAGTTGGACCACATCTGGTGAGTTCTCCCCACGTGGTGGGTGCATTACGCCGAGATGGCCTGGCTGGGCCGTGGTGTCGTATTTTTATGTTCGCCCAGTGGGCTCGCGGCACTGGCAGCCGGCTCTCAGTTAGGAACTGCCAGACCAAAGTACCAGTCGCTGGCTGTTTTATATTTTTGTGGGACGCAGCGTTAGTCGGTCACAATTTGGCCAGACGTGTACGCAATCGTGGATGCCTGAGAGGCAGCGTTAGTCGGTCACAGATTGGCCTGACGTGTACGCAACCGTATATGCCTGAGAGGCAGCGTTAGTCGGTCACAGATTGGCCTGACGTGTACGCAACGGTGTATGCCTGAGCTGCAGCGCTAGTCGGTCACAGATTGGCTGGACGTATACGCAACCGTGTATGCTATATCGGTTTCGTCCGCGTCCCACTCTGGGAGCGTCCAGGGCTTACGTAATTTTGTTTTTCTCATTGCAGGCATGCTCGTCGTAGGGGACAGCTATGCTGTCCACCTCCCCCGCCGCTGTTCGCCCCACCTTGCCGTGGCGGCGGCCGGTGTTCGCGGAGGCTGCGTCAATGACGACGGCTTCAGGCGCTGGGCCATCCGGGCCGCAGTTCGTGCCCGTCCTCGCGTGGTCACGCTCGTGGCGGGCGGAAATGACCTCGCCAGAAGGGACTGCCGCGTTCAGCGGTGGCTCGCCAACCTCCAGGAACTGACGCTCGGGCTCCTGGCAGCCGGAGTCGTTCGCGTCTATGTGCTGCCCATCCCTCCGCGCACAGGCTTTCCATCCAGCGGCGTGTCGGCGCGAATTTTCCGGCGGCGGCGCTGGGTGGCCAACAAACTGTTGCGCCGCCTTTTCCGCCAACCGCCGGTGCTCCTGCTCCACTTTGTGCCGCCACCTGACTTTCTGGCGTCGGATGGGGTTCATCCGTCCGCGGCCGGGTGGCGCACCCTGGAGAGCGTGCTACAGGAGGCTATGGACGCCTCCTCCGGGATTTAGCGTGTACCGGGTCGCTCCCGTGCTGTGTCGTGTGTGTCCCCCCCCCCCCTCCTAACCGGCTGGCCGTTTAAATACACATTCCCGCTAACATCGTCGTCTATTTTCATGCGTTCGGAGCTGCTATGCCACGGGCCAAGTCGTCGGCGGGCCGTGCCCCGGCACGCCCCCTGCCAGCGCCACGGACGGACGCGCCGCGACGCGCCACTACGAGACGCTCCGCGGCGGCCGCGGCCGCGTCTGGCGCTGGTGCCACGAGCCGCCGCACGCCCGCTGCTGCGGCGAGGCGACAGGCCGCAGTGATGGCCACCACTCCGCCCAATCCAGGGCGGGGCCATGCTGCTACAACGTCGGCCGCCGCCGCCTCGCCCCCTGACGCCGCGGTCATCGACCCCGCCGCTCTTCAAACAATGGTGGGCGACATGGTCCGGGCCGCCGTCGCCGCCGCTCTACCTGCCAGCGAGCCATCACCGCCGGCGACGGTCGCCGTGCAGCGCGGTCCGGCACAGCGTCTCCAGGATGGGCCAGCTGCCCATCTGACGTCCGCCGA